CGGCCTCCAGACACCGGGACATCACTTCAAGGGCATTTAATCAATCTTGGGGTAATTTCTTACATTTTAAAGATTTTCCACGTTATTTCCAAATCATTTTGTTCAATTTTCTATTTGAGTTCTTTTTTTGTTTCTTTAAAAATACGCTCCAATGTCCTCTTTTCTTCTCCCCATGCTTATTAACTGCCATTTTCTCGCTAGGGGTCTTCAGGTTTAAAATTTTTTTCTCTTATTATGAGTTGGCTAACACTCACCCAGCTCCAAAACTCTGTTCAATTCACCACTCCTGCTCCATGCTCAGTCCAGTTGCCCCAGCTTCATGACAGCCGCAATAGCTGCCGCCCCCGTCACCAAGTCATAGAGAGCTAGCTCTGACCATCAAGGAATTTGCCTGTTCCTCTTGGTCTTCCGAGGTGCCTCTCCTTCACCCCCGTCCCTACAGGATGGTTCCGGTCCAAAGACCCCTTGGCAGCGGTTCGTCAGTCTGGGTTTTTGCAGAGCTCATCGGAGCTCGCAAATTTCCAAACTGTCTCGCCGCAGCGCTTCTGGTCGAAAAACTCCCCCCCCATCTAATGATATCCTTGTACCTGAAGGGCACACGTTTCAGGATCTTAAGCTTAGAACTGGAAGGAGAAGAAAGGAGTAAAGGCTTAGGGAAAAAGCTGCACAAATTTTCTTGATGTCAAAGTTTTGTTTTCTTTTTTATTGTAAAGAGTCATTCCGTAGACCTCAGCTTGTTATTGATGCAAACCTTGTTAAAAGTTCCTTGGTGATGAATATTTATTTTTATTTATTTATTTTATTCATCAAACATGTATAAGATAACAGATATAAATATAAACCTCATTATGAATACAGGAAATGGATGCGAATAAATGGGGACAGTAGGACAGGGACAGTAGGCATGTTGGTGCACTTATGCACGCCCTTACAGACCTCATAGGAATGGGGTGAGGTCAACAGTAGACAGTCTAAGTTTAAAGTTATGTGGGTTTGGGGATGAAACCACAGAGTCAGATAGTGAATTCCAGTATATATCTTGATGTATCAGAATATATCAGAACTCTTTTTTTAAAAAAACAAAACAAAAAGTTTTTATTATTTTTTTAAATTCAAACAAATAACATTTTCACTTATCTATTTAAACATTTGTAAACCCAACCTTCAACCCCCCCTTCCCTCCCCCCTCCCCCGACTTCCCAGAAGAAAAACAGGGTATAAATTTTACCAAACATAGCTAAAATATGCTAAGTTAATGCAAGACATTACAATTCCCTAGAACCCTTAACTCCCCTTCTACAAATTATTTATCAACCTCCCTTTAAAGTCAAAATACCATGTAATCCTTTAGCTCTAAGTTTTTTTAAAAAAAAACCATTAAGAAACACTAGTAGATCATTCAAAGCCTAAAAATCTTATAATACATCTGTAAGATATTTTTAGTTCATTTATTTATTTATTTATTTTATTAGATTTCTATACCGCCCTACTCCCGAAGGACTCAGGGCGGTGCACAGCCAAACAATAAAAACACATACAATACAAAATTTAAAAATAGAATAAAATCAAATTAAATAATTTTGGCCCCGACAAATTTAAAACCCCAAACTTTTAAAACCAATTTAAAATTGAATATATAAAATACAAAAGATATTTAAAATTTTAAAAAATCTTTTATAAAAGAGGGGGAAAATTAGGCCAGGCCGGCCTGGTGAAATAGTAAGGTCTTTAAGGCGCGGTGGAAGGTGCGCAGATCCGGGATCCTCCGTATCTCTGGGGGGAGCTTGTTCCAGATAGTAGGTGCCCCCACAGAGAAGGATCTCCCCCTGGGGGCCACCAGTCGGCATTGTTTGGCTGACGGCACCCGGAGGAGCCCCTCTCTATGGGAGCGTACCGGCCGGTGGGAGGCTATTAGTGGTAGTAGGCGGTCCCGCAAGTACCCGGGTCCTAAGCCATGGAGCGCTTTAAAGGTGGTAACCAGAACCTTGAAGCGCACCCGGAAGACCACCGGGAGCCAGTGCAGCTCGCGCAGGAGTGGTGTTACATGGGAACGCCATGTCGCTCCCATTACCACCCGCGCGGCCGCACTCTGCGCCAGTTGGAGCCTCCGGGTGCTCCTCAAGGGGAGCCCCATGTAGAGAGCGTTGCAATAGTCCAGGCGGGAGGTGACAAGGGCATGAGTGACTGTGCGTAATGAGTCCCGATCCAGAAAGGGACGCAACTGGCGAATCAGGCGAACCTGATGAAAAATCCTCCCGGTCACGGCCGTCAAGTGCTCTTCTAAAGACAGCCGTGAATCCAGGAGGACGCCCAAGTTGCGAGCCCTCTCCGTGGGGGCCAATGATTCGCCCCCAATAGTCAGTGATGGCGTCAACTGACTATAACGGGACGTCGGAAACCACAGCCACTCAGTCTTGGATGGGTTGAGCCTGAGCCTGTTCCTCCCCATCCAGATCCGTACGGCCTCCAGGCACCGGGACATCACTTCAAATGATTTACTTAATCATTTGACTCTTCCTCTTACTTTTGTTCTCAATATTCAAATATTTTAAAAAATCTTAATACAACAATAATTAAACCTTAATTAATCATTAATTGAACTCTTAATTCATTTACTTAATCATTATAATTAATCATTAATACATCAATAGTTAGACCAGAGAAAGTTAATCTTCCATTCTTCCTTTCTTTCTGTATTTTTTCCAATCTTTCTTCCTCCCTCCTACTTTTATTTTGAGGAGGTTTTGAATTTTAACTGGGGGTTGATGTATCTTTAAAACTTGTCCCTTTCTTGGAACCATTTCCTCTGATTTAGAGCCCCCATATCGACTCTTCTTGCTTATATAATCAGTCAGTTCATAGAACGAAGAATTAACTCGATCAGTTTGCAAAGAAAAGTCCAATTGTTGCATTTCAATTAATTGTGTGAAAGCCTCTGCCAAATCTTCTTTATCCTCCGAAACCTCGTAGGGTTGGTCAGTTTCTTCTTCTTTCTGCTCCAAATTATATTTTTGAAAAGTTCTGTCAGTTAATTCCAAAAGGGCAGGAAGAAAGTTTGAAGATTTTTGAGAGCCAGCCAGTTCCAGCTTCTCTGTTTTAGTCAAAATGTCTCCTACATTGTCATTGTGCTTTCCTTCAAAAACATCCTCAGTTGCTTTTATATCCTCCACCGGTTCTATAAATTTTTGTTCTATGATTGCTGTTAGGTTATTAATAATTAAAATTTGGTTATTCATGGCTTCCTTTATAAATTCTGTAAGGTCTTTCAAAAAAATCATCCTGGCTCTGTGATTCAGTTCTCTGTGTCATTTCTGACGCCATTAGAGAGCCTCCACCACTTTCAGAAACTCCTTGCTTGGAAGCCATATTATTTTAAAAGAATTTTTGAACAGCTTTCTCAGATTTATTTGTAATTTATCAAGCAAGATAGTCTTTTCTACACCCAGCTCTCAAATACCAGCAGTTTAAATCCAGTCTCTGAGCACAAATCTGTTAACAAGCACTTTCATTTCCAACTTTCACTTTCACACCCACAACGAAGACACCATTTCCACCTCCAGCTCAGCAAAATCAAGTAGAAACAATGTATCCCAGGAGTTAAGCATATACTTGCAAAAGCTTGTTCTCCTGCTTCCGTCCTGTCTGCTTATTGAAATCAGTTAATCTTCTTCTTGACAGCAGAGTCGGTCGCCAGTGTCTGGCTCCGTTTAAACGGAGTTGCCACGGATCCGGAGCTTCAGTGGGCTGAGCGGGGAGCTCTCACCCTCCAAGCCCCTGGAATTACTCCAGGGGCTTCCGGGGAGCTCTACCCTCACCCACTGGCTCTCCTCTCCTTCTTCTCCTGAAGGAGAGGTTTTTAAGCCGTCTGACAGCTGATTAGCGCTGTCAGAATGGCTCCAACGGAATCGCGGGGCTGGCGGTCCAAAAAGACCGTCTGCGACGCCGGTGGTGCCAACCGGAAGCCCCAGAACTCTTGATTATTTAGTATCGTGGGATTCAGCAGACCAGTCAAAAGGTTGCTGTATGAATGAACCTAATCCTAATTACTCTATACTGCATTCTAACCTTGAGGGAAGCCCCATGGAACTAATTGAGACTTAGTCTAGTTTCATTGTCTGGGAGGAGTTTAAAACCTATTAATCCTGACCAGTAGTTTGGCCATCAGTATAATATATCCATGTATTATACATACATCCATGTATTATACATGCATCCATGTTCCTCCTGGTAGGCTAAGACCTCCTATCAGGTGAGACATGGTTGGGTTCTGGTTCCAAGTAAATTCCTACTTGGGAAAGAAGATGGTCCTTCACTTAAGGAGCCAGCAGTGTACTCTTTTCTCAAGAAGCCACTATTAACTGGACAAATATTGTCTCATATTGTCCCAACCTACCCTTCCTGGGGAAGGTTATTAAGAACAAGCAATTGCTTCAAAGAACTGTGGAGGAAGTTCTGGACTTTTTCAGTCAGATTTCAGACCTGAATACAGAATTAAAATGTAATTGATCATACCTGTGGTGAGAATAGGATGCAGCCATCCTTTCTCTCCTTGGTATTTTATTGGCTTTTAATCGGGATAACTTCTGGGCTGGCTTCAAAGATTGGATTGGGGAGCACTGTGTTGTACTAATTCTTCTCCTTCCTCTGGGAGAGTTTTAGTCAGCATTCATGGAAGGAGAAGTCTAGTCCACAGATACTGCTTTGCAGTGCTCAGCCCCCTCCCCACTTCTGTTTAATATTAACATGAAGAAACTGGTTGAGGCTGAAGGCATTTCATTTGATTGTGAAATAGTAGATTTATTATTATTCATCCCAATGAGTATGAAAAAGACCACTTATTCAACCTGATTCTACCTGAATCATATTAGGATGAAAAATGAGATTAAAATTAGAAAAATATCTCTTTCTTCTTTAATCTTTTTACTAATACAGCATTTTTTAATTCAAGTGAATAAACATAATATTAATGAAAAAAACCTCTTATTTGTATTTTATGTTAGAAATAACTTGCCAGGCAGACTATATTGAAAATGGAAACGTATTATCTCCAAAGATCACTTATAAGGAAGGTGAGAGAATACGATTCTCCTGTAATGAAGGATACTCACATGTTGACAGACAAGATGCCTTATGTACTGAGACTGGATGGGGTACAAAGCTTCAATGTGAAGGTCTGTATGTGATTCTAATGGTCATGGTTGTTTTGAAATCTTACACACATTTTAGTCTTCTTGCTATGCATGCCTAGAATTGCAGCTCCAATCAATCTGACCTGGTTAAAAACCTTGTGGTAAAATAGGGAAAGAAGTATTTGTATGTCTTTATTTGATTTCGTTTTTATCAGACATACGGAGAGCAAGAATAACAAGCATTGTCTTAGAAGACTCATCCTTCCTTTTTTTAACAAGTAAAAGAAAATATTGCCTCAATTTTAGTCTAGATCTATGGATTATTTACATCATACTGAATTGATTTCCTAAACTAGCTATGATTAGTTTTAAAGGGATAACTGAAAAAGAGCCACTAAGTCTATAATTTCAACATTTTAATAATTCTTGATTAATTAAAAACTCAGGATTCATGGCTTCCTGGAATTTGTGGAGTCAAATGGCATATTATACTTGTTTAATCTTAATTAATCAGACTTAGAAATGTCTTTCTTCAAAGAAGGACTTTATTCTTCTGAAGATCATCTGAGGCAAACATTTACTTTGGTCTGCTCTCTATCATAAGTAATATGACTCAGCAATAAATGTGGGGCCAAATAGGAATGAATGTTTCATGTAGCATTTCTTGGACAGAGGAACATAATTCATCAAGACTGTTTGTGTCTAAGGCACAAAGTGTAGAAAAAGTAATTGTTTCTTTTATGGAAAATTTGGGTGATAGTCCCACAAGGGGGCAACTCAATCTATTTTGAAGATATGTGCAAAGGGCAGAATTGATCCACAAATCAGTTGGCTATCTTTGTCTCAGACTGAAATCACCTTATGACTTCAGCATTGGTGGTTCTTACATTTGGGCACTAATTTCACTCTCTTTTTTCCCCCTAAGTGTTGTAAAATCACATTACAATTTTACAATATATTAACTTTTACAATATATTAATTTTACATTAATGGTAGATTTTAGGAGAAACCCTCCCATACTACTACCTCTTTCAATACTAGACAACACAGTATCAACAGTAGAGTCCTTCAAGTTTCTAGGTTCTATCATATCTCAAGATTTAAAAGGGACACCTAACATCAAAAACATCATCAAAAAAGCACAACAAAGATTGTTCTTTCTGCATCAACTCAGGAAGCTCAAACTGCACAAAGAGCTGCTGATTCAGTTCTACAGAGGAATTATTGTGTCTGTCATCTGCACCTCTATAACTGTCTGGTTTGGCTTTGCAACCAAACAACACAGACACAAACTTTAACAGATAATTAAAACTGCAGAAAAAACAATTGCTACCAACCTGCCTTTCATTAAGGACCTGTATACTGCATGAGTCAAAAAGAGGGCTGTGAAAATATCTACAGACCCCTCGCATCCTGGACATAAATTGTTTCAACTTCTACCCTCAAAACGATACTATAGGGCACTGCACACCAGAACAACTAGACACAAGGACAGTTTTTTCCCAAATGCCATCACTCTGCTAAACAACTAATTCGCACAACACTTTCAAATTATCTACTAAGACTGTATTACTATTATTCTTCTCATCCTTCCTAGTACCTATCTCTTCCCACTCTTACTATAAGCATGTTGCTTGTATCTTTACGATTTATATTGTTTTATTGTTTCCTAGTATGATTTGATTGCTTATTAGTATCCTATGACTAACTTATGTTAGTATCTTATGATTCTTGATGAATATATTTCTATTCTATTCTATTCTATTCTGTTCTGTTCTGTTCTGTTCTATTCTATTCTATTCTATTCTATTCTATTCTATTCTATTCTATTCTATTCTATTCTATTCTATTCTATTCTATTCTATTCTGCTAAGCAGCAAAATGAGAACAGAGCATCAGCTTTAGGGCAAGGATCCCCAATCAGGTCCATATTAATTTATCAATGGTCGATAAATGGCTGGATAAATAACTGGTCGATAAATGATGAATCAAAAGTTGGAATTAAGATTGCCAGGAGAAATATCAACAACCTCAGATATGCAGATGATACCACTCTAATGGCAGAAAGTGAAGAGGAACTAAAGAGCCTCTTGATGTGGATGAAGAAGGAGAGTACAAAAGTTGGCTTGAAACTCAACATTAAGAAAACTAAGACCCACATTAGATGAGGAATGGTATTTAATGAGAAATTTATATTATATAGGATAAGTGAGGTCAGATAGACCTAATTGATGTATTAAGGTATATAAGCTGTTCTGTCTTCTCCGGAATATAATTTAGAGTTATAGTACTGAATATTTGTTCATTAAGGTACTATATGGAAGTACGTATGTTTATTGTTGTATTGTTTTTTGTGTGTCACTTTATGTTGTCTTTTCTTTTTAATTGAAATGTAAATAAAGATTATTATTTATTTATTTTTAAAAAAGAAAACTAAGATCATGGCATCCAGCCCTCTCAATTTCTGGCAAATAGATGGGAAAGAAATGGAGGTAGTGACAGATTTTATTTTCCTGGGCTCCAAGATCACTGCAGATGGGGACTGCAGCCAAGAAATTAAAAGTTGGTTGCTCCTGGGGAGGAAAGCTATGGCAAATATAGATAGCAGACTAAAAAGCAGAGACATCACCCTGCCAACAAAAGTGTGTATAGTCAAGGCCATGGTTTTCCCAGTTGCAATGTATGGCTGTGAAAGTTGGACCATAAGAAAGACTGAGCACCAAAGAATTGAAGCCTTTGAACTATGGTGCTGGAGAAGACTCCTGCAAGTCCCTTGGACTGCAAGGTGATCAAACCGGTCAGTCCTAGTGGAGATCAACCCTGACTGCTCTTTAGAAGGCCAGATCCTCAAGATGAAACTCAAATACTTTGACCATCTAATGAGAAGGAAGGACACTCTGGAGAAGAGCCTAATGCTGGGAAATATTGAGGGCAAAAGAAGAAGAGGACAACAGAGAACGTGGTGGCTGGATGGAATCACTGAAGCAGTAGGCGTGAGCTTAAATGGACTCCAGAGGATGGTAGAGGACAGGAAGGCCTGGAGGAATGTTGTCCATGGGGTCGCGATGGGTCAGACACGACTTCGCAACTAACAACAACAAAATGATGAAAAGTCATTTGCAATCAGCATATCTTTCTTCACCTATTGAGAGTTTCTCAAGGACCTGGAGCAGATAAATGTTCTTGTTGGTTAAAGATAGACCACCTATTTTTATTACTGTTGGACAGTATTACTTGGTCTGTTGTGTGGATGTTTGGGTGGTTTAGGGGTGGGGAATTGTGGTGGGTGGGGTGTGTTTGGGGATTATTATGTGTGTTGGACCTGGTCTTTGGGTGTTAAGTGAATTTCATTTTATGGGTATACTGTGTATACACATACAATGACAATAAAGTTATTTATTTATTTATTTATTTATTTATTTATTTATTTATTTATTTATTCATTCATTCATTCATTCATTCATTCAATCATTCATTCATTCATTCATTCATTCATTCATTCATTCATTCATTCATTCATTCATTCATTCATATTCCTCCATAGAAATTAAATGTTTCCCTCCAGAAGTGACGAATGGCTACCTTCAATATAGACGAGATCACTATATGTACAATGATGAAATTGAAACAATATGTAATGAAGGGTTTGTCTTTGGAGGCCCCGGAAAGGTTTCCAAATGCACTGCAACTGGTTGGCATCCTCCTCCTGTCTGTAAACGTAAGTAACTTTTTCTATGAAGTTTTTTTCTAGAGCAGAACTTGCTTCATTGTTTATAAATAATATTCTTATAGTTATGCTAGATGCAGTGAGATAATTATGGTGGGAGGAGAATAGTTTATTATAGATACCAGTAGTTACAGCATGATTTCTGTAATTTTTTCATTAAACAATCCTACAGTTTTGTATAATAATCATAAAATTGTTCCACAATAAAATAAGGAAAAACAAGATAAAAATGGAAAAATGCTACAGTATAGAAAACTTGCACCATGCTATCACTAACCAGTAATTAACCACTAACCAGTAACTAACCACTAACCAGTATACCAGCCACGACTCCAGGGGAGGGGCGGAGGAGTGGCGGTAGTTATTAAGGAAAGTCTTAGGCCTAGGGAGGTCACTGTTCCTCAGGTTGGCGGGTGTGAATTCCTCCTTTTGAAATGGGACCCTGGAGTTCAGTCTGGGCTGTTGATCACGTACCTCTCCCCCAGCTGCGTGGCCTCAGCCCTGCCCGCACTACTAGATGTCTTAGCCGAATTGATGGTGGAACTCCCCAACCTTTTGGTTGTGGGAGATTTCAATCTGCCATCGGCCGGTGAGTCATCTGAGTTGGTGCGGGAGTTCATGACCTCCATGATGGCCATGGACCTGACTCAGATTGTACAGGACCCAACTCATATTGGAGGACACACACTCGACCTTATTTTTCTCTCTGGACAGTGGATAAATGATCATGGGGAGGGGACTCTATCTATTGACCCTCTGTCATGGACCGATCATTCCCTCCTTAGACTCGACTTTTCCTCTGCTATCCTCCGTCGCAGGGGTGTGGAACCAGTAAGATGGTTCCGCCCCAGGCACCTGATGGAACCCGAAAGCTTCCTGATGGAGCTTGGGTCATTTCCCGCCTCCTTAGCCCACGATTCATCTGAGACCCTTGTCGCGACCTGGGAACAGGCTGCGGTGGGAGCCCTGGATCGAATCGCGCCTTTGCGGCCTCTGATCCGACGCAGATCCCGGGCGGCTCCTTGGTTTACTGCGGAGCTCAGGGAAATGAAGCGTCGGAAAAGACGCCTGGAGGGTGGTTGGAGATCCTCCCAATCCGAGTCCGACCGAACACAACTAAGAACCCATATTAGGTCTTATCTTGTGGCGATGGAAGTAGCGAAACGTAAGTATTTCGCCACTCTCATTGCATCTGCAGAAAATCGCCAGCAGCCATGTTTAGAGTGACCCGCTCCCTCCTTAATCAGGGAGCGAGGGAGGACCCCTTACAGGGCCGTGCTGAGGACTTTGCACAGTTTCTGCAAGATAAAATCACTCAGATTCAGACCGGGTTGGACTCCGACTGGACAGAGTCCGTTGAGGTGACAGGGCCTAGTCTCGGTGGAGACATCTGGGTTGAGTTTGAGCCTGTTTCATTGGATGACGTGGACAGGATTATGGGTAGGCTGGGGTCTTCCACATGTTTACTGGACCCTTGTCCCTCCTGGCTTGTTTCGGCAGCCAGGGAGGTGACTGGAGACTGGATCCAGGCTATTGTCAATGCTTCACTAAAGGAAGGGGTCTTTCCTGCTGCGCTTAAAGAGGCGTTAAGAAGCCTAACCTGGATCCTGACGTACTTAACAACTACCGTCCAGTCTCCAACCTTCGCTTTTAAGCGAAGGTTGTTGAGTCCGTGGTGGCACAGCAATTCCCTCAATTCCTGGAGGAAACTGACTACCTGGATCCTTACCAATCTGGTTTCAGGCGTGGCCATAGCACGGAAATGGCATTGGTCGCCCTAGTAAATGATCTCTGGCGGGCCAGGGATGGGGGTTGCTCCTCCATCCTGGTCCTTCTTGACCTCTCAGCGGCGTTCGATACCATCGACCATGGTATCCTGCTGCAACGGCTCAGGGGGATAGGGTTAGGAGGCACTGTTTTACAGTGGTTCTCCTCCTATCTCTCGGGCTGTCTGCAGTCTGTTTGGGTGGGGGGTCAGGGATCCTCCCAGAGGCCTCTCACTTGTGGGGTGCCTCAGGGCTCAGTTCTCTCTCCTCTGCTCTTTAATATCTATATGAAACCGCTGGGTGAGATCATCCGTGGTTTTGGGGTGAGGTATCATCAATATGCTGATGATATCCAGCTTTACATCTCCACCCCATGCCCTTTCCGTGATGTCCCACTGCCTGGAAGCGGTGCGGGTTTGGATGGGGAGGAACAGGCTGAGACTCAACCCTTCCAAGACTGAGTGGCTGTGGATGCCGGCATCCCAGGATCTGGAGGTTCCATCCTTAATGATCGGAGGTGAAACCCTTGCTCCCTCCGATAGGGTCCGCAACTTGGGTGTCCTCCTGGATTCTCGGCTGTCTTTAGATGACCATCTGACGGCCGTAACCAGGGGGGCCTTCGCACAAGTCTGTCTTGTGCGCCAGTTGCGCCCGTTCCTAGACTGGGATGCCCTCGCCATGGTCACTCACGCCCTTGTTACCTCTAGGTTGGACTACTGTAACACCCTCTACATGGGGCTGCCCTTGGGACGTGTCCGTAGGCTTCAGCTAGTCCAAAATGCAGCTGCGCGGGTAGTTACGGGGGCGTCTAGATACTCCCGTGTAACACCTCTCCTGCGTGAGCTGCACTGGCTACCGGTGGCACTCCGGATACGTTTCAAGGTGCTGGTGCTCACCTATAAAGCCCTTCATGGCTTAGGCCCGGGGTACTTGCAGGACCATCTCCAGCCATTCTCCCATCGTCCTGTGCGCTCTCACAGAGTCGGCCTCCTCAGGGTGCCGTCGGCCAAACAATGTCAGCTGATGACCCCCAGGGGGAGGGCGTTCTCTGTGGGAGCCCCGACCCTCTGGAATGGATTGCCCACTGAGCTCAGGACAGCCCCCGACCTTCTTTCCTTCCGTCGCGAGCTGAAGACGTGGCTCTTCCGCCAATTAAACTGATCCATTTGGGGGTACACTGGTATAATTTTAAATCATTTTTTAATTGGGTTACTGATTTTAATTTGGTATTGTATTGTGATTTGTATTGATGTTGTCATTTTGTAAGCCGCCTTGAGTCCCTAGGGAGAAAGGCGGCATATAAATCGCAATAAATAAATAAATAAATAATTCATAAGCCATCTGAAAACTGTAGGGACTCAACTGAATTTTCAGGGGCCTGATTAATTAGTGTCCATCCAAAAATCACCTATTTGACAAACTCTGGAAGGAAGAAAGGTGATCGTTGAAGCTCCTAGCCATTTTCCTGCCTAGCAATCTACCAATGGTGCTACTTTGGAACAAAGATTTATTAGTCTTAGTCTAGAAGAAATGCTCAGGTCTCTCGCATTCCAGCTTGCAAGGGAATGCTGTCACAAAGTGGCAAGTGTACTTTGAAGTAGGCTGTGGAGTGTGCTAAACAACAATGCAGTAGGAAAACTAGGTTATTTCCATGGGATATTCCTCTATAAGATGATAAGGAGGGCCAGAGAGGTCAAAGTATCTGCCACATTACCTGTTCACCCCAGGTGAAATTCTTACACTTTTCAGTGATAGGATGACCCTGGGCCATACAGGAGTTGGTGGATCAGGTATTCATGAAACTGCCCTTTTCAGGTACATAAGCAGCCTGATGCCAGGTCTGTTGTATACTTGACAAAACAAAGTGTAGTCTGGATGTACAGAAAAAAATTCCTTCTATAGTTGGTTAGGTGGCCTAAATTGGAAAGGCCGTGGAAGATAGCTAATACAATGTTTCCCTGAAAATAAGACCCTGTCTTATATTTTTTTGAACCCTGAAATAAGCACTTGGCCTTATTGCCATGCACTCAAAAGCCCAATTGGGCTTATTATCAGGGGATGTCTTATTTTGGGGAAAACATGGTAGTATCCAGGGAAAAACAAAGATTCCTTGTGTAGTGAAGCATCACAGAGAGACTGCACAGCACATCAAAATTGGGTTTTGATAGGGGTTTTTAAATGATCTTAGTTGGATGTTTTAAATTTGGCCGAATGATTTAATTATTTTAATAAGCTTTTAATTTTTGTTGTACATTGTTTTTATCATGGCTGTTCACCGCCCTGGGTCCTCCGGGAGAAGGGCGGTATACAAATATAATAAACTAACTAACTAACTAACTAACTTGAAGTACTAGAAGAAATCAGAAAATATCATTTTGATACAGAGTGAGAAATGTCAGGCAGAGCTGATTCTTGCAATGGGACAGGGACAGGTTGGGGACAATGCTGTGTATTCATACCCTCAATGAACTATTACGGGAGGCCTCTTTGCTTAAGAGAAACAGAAAATGTTGATGAGTCTATAGGAACACATGCAGTGAAATTTGCTAGCACCTGAGCAGACCTACTTTTTTCATGGCACATGAATAGAATGATTGCAACAAGTGAAATAAAATCATAAGTTGAGGAACTTAACTTTGATTAAATGAGGAATGGAAGGAATAGTACTGAAATGGCAGAACAGAAGGCCTAAACTCCAAAAAAGTTTGTACAGAAGTGGCTGAAGGAATGAAATGAATAGTTTTAAAGAAGGAAAGGAAAAGACAGTAAAAGTTAAAACTGTCTCAATCTAGAAAAATGGAAACACAAGGGTCTTATGTCCTGGCTTGTTTACAAATACTTGAGAAACACAGTGAGTATAATTCAGGCCCTATAAAGGTTGTCAAAAGTCACAAACTATCTAAACACTCTTAAAATCTGTGTTGTCCAAACACAGTCAATAGTGACTTATCCAAAAGTGAAATTAAACAGGGATCTGAGTATTCTTTGCAATTCTGATGCCAAAACAGATTTGTATAAAATTGAACATTAAAAAAAAAAATCCTTAAAGAGGCAAGGCGAAACAATGAAAGAAAAAATAAGTTAGCTAGAAGGTGGCCTAGTAATTAAGCTCCGGCAGCACCTTCCTAAAATGCTCCAAGTTTCCTGCACAACTACCACTGAACACAAAATCTATAACTCAAAAGAATTTGCAAGTCTTCTCAAAACAAAGAATTCTAAATCACAATGAGATATGACATCTAGTATTATGGTAATATCATTATCAGAATAGAGTCTTCAGAAAAAGATACTCTGAAGTTTTTTTGGTGAGGTATTTTTTGGTTCTGCTTAAATTTCTATCCTGCTTCAATATCCAGTTATTGAATCAAGGTTACCAAATTGTTTCATGGGAAAAAAAAGGGAATGTAAACCTCTCTAGTCCTAGCCTGTAGATGTAGCTATAGTGTACTATGAGAAGTCCCTCAAATGACTGGAAAATTTTGGCGGGGAAAAAAAAAACCTCCAGAGGAAAGATCAAACTTTGGTCAAACCAGAAATTCTGAAATTCTCTCTGTTGAAAATCTCCTCAAAGATACTAGTGAGGTATTACATTCTCATCAGAGATCATAAGACACTTATTAAAATTATATCTTGCGAAGCTGCCCGAGGTATTCATAAAGCTGAACTTAAACATTGTGTCCCCCTAATTTCTACAGTGATTTTGAAACAATTCAGCATTATCCAAAAAACGGACCTCTAAATTCAAATACATTCCTGGCTAGACATTCTGCCTCTTTCAATATAAATCTGAATCAAACCATCTTCTGTTTCAAGGTTCCTGGAGTTTTCTTGAGAGGCTGCTGGGAAGATGGAAGTTCTTCTCCCAAACTGCATCCAAGTGCCACTTTTTGTCTTAGAACACCTAACTCTTTCCCCTGCCCAGCAGGAAGTAAGGGTTGGGAAGGGAAATTCAATACGCAACCAAAGACATATCTACTGGATTGTGAATTGTATTTCAGAGGCTGCAATCTGTTATTCAATCTTTAGTAACAATGGGACATAGCGCTACTTTACTTATCTAATGATATCCTTGTACCTGAAGGGCACACGTTTCAGGATCTTAAGCTTAGAACTGGAAAGAGAAGAAAGGAGTAAAGGCTTAGGGAAAAAGCTGCACACATTTTCTTGATGTCAAAGTTTTGTTTTGTTTTTTATTGTAAAGAGTCATTCCGTAAAATATTAGCTGAGGAAAGCATTTTCTTTTAGGACCAAAGCATTATAAGTTAGTCCTCAGCTTGTTATTGATGCACACCTTGTTAAAAGTTCCTTGGTGATGAATATTTATTTTATTTGTCAAGCATGTATAAGATAACAGATATAAATACAAACATGATTATGAATATAGGAAATGGATGCGAATAAATGGGGACAGTAGGACAGGGACGGTTATGCACACCCCTTACAGACCTCTTAGGAATGGGGTGAGGTCAACAGTAGACAGTCTAACGTTAAAGTCAGTGGTGGGATTCAGCCAGTTTGCACCACTTCGGGAGAACCGGTTGTTAACTTTTTGAGCAGTTTGACAAACTGGTTGTTGGAAGAAATCATTAGGGCAGAGAACCAGTTGTTAAATTACTTGAATCCCACCACTGGTTAAAGTTATGGGGGTTTGGGGATGAAACCACAGAGTCAGATAGTGAATTCCAGAATATATCTTGATGTATCAGAATATATCAGAACTCTTGATCATTTAGTATCGTGGGATTCAGCAGACCAGTCAAAAGGTTGCTGTATGAATGAACCTAATCCCTCTGGAATATGAAAACCACACTTATGCAAGTTTCATCAAAAGCAATGTATGCATCAGCTGAACATGTTCCTAGGAAGGGATTTGCTGCCTATATACCATTCTACTGTAATTATTCACCACTACTAATCACTAGTTAGTAGCGGCAAAACATTTAAAAAACAAAGAGGTACACTTTTAAGCTAGAGTGCAGGAGAACATAAGAAAAGCCTTGGTGGTGCAGCAGACTAAAGCACGGATAAGTAATACCAGCTGCCTGCAATTACTGCAAGTTCAAATCTCACCAGGCTCAAGGTTGACTCAGCCTTCCATCCTTTCGAGGTAGGTAAAATGAGGACCCGGTTTGTGGGGGCAAGAAGCTGACTTTGTATAAAAAAGAACACCAGTTGGGGTGGGGGGGTGCGAAAGCCCTACTAAGCAGATATATACAAAAGTATGAAGGCTATTGCTTAACACATTATAAGCTGCCCTGAGTCTCCAGAAAAGGGCGGCATATAAATCGAACCAATAAATAAATAAATAAATAAATAAATAAATAAATAAATAAATAAATAAATAAATAAATAAATAAATAAATAAATAAGCTAATCATGAGAGACAGATTGAGTGGGAAGAACCTTAGAGGTTTAATTTTAGAAATCTTAGTGATGCTAGGCCCAAGATTACTGAAGAGAAGCCATTCATGCAGGAAAGCACAGAAAATCCTGCACATTGTGACGAGGCTCTTTTGGAAGTATTGCGGATCTCCCGCAAGGAAAGAAATGTTACTTTACCCGTGTCTCCAGGAAGGTTAAAAATGTACTTCTTTCTTACTTCTCACTTAACTTTTCATTAAATATATACTCTAGAGCCAGTTTGTTATAATTGTGAAGGTGCCAATCTTGAAACCAGGAGACTGTGAGTTGTACTCCTACCTTGTATGAAAGCCACTGGGTAATATGGTGCCAGTCACTCTCTCAACCCAATTCACCTCATAGGTGATTGTGGTAGAGAAAATAGAAGCTAGAGGTATAACTATGTTTGCTGCCTTGACCATTTTTGAAAAGGCAGGATGAACACATAATAATCACAATAACAGCAAGAAGCATAATAGTTGCATAAGTCACTGTGCAGTGATAAAAAGAAGATAGAAAGAAGTTCAGTCCCATTTTATAGTATAAGATCAAAGATGTCAAATCTACATCATTCCATTCTCTCCACAACCCTCACAGATTGTAAGCAGAAGAAATAAGGGCCTTTGTTTCTCCCTTCGGTCATTGTCATTCTCTGTTCTTTCTTAGATGCAGGGCAGAAATTCAGGTCAGATTCTGGTATTGCAACAACATTTAATAAGAAGTTCGTCTCTGATGCCAGTACTAAAGCAAAGCAAGTGAATTGATAGAATATTCTGAATTATGGGGGTGCCTTACTTTTTTTTCTATGTCTTTTCTTCAGAAAACGGCTGTGACTATATCCGTATAGAAAATGGAAGAATGGCTGATCGTTTTGAATGGTATAAACCATTTCCATTATGGCAGGGACAATCAATTGAGTTTTATTGTTATCGTGGTTATCTGCCTAAAGACAAGCAAAGATGGCAAACAGCAAGGTGCATCAATTCCCGCTATGACCCAGAACCAAAGTGTTTCAGTAAGTAATTCTTTCCCTTTGCAGTAGATATTGCCAAGTACAAACAAAACAGATCAGATGCTGTCCTGACCTTGTTTTAACTTGGAAGAAGTAGCATCCTATAGAGCTGTGATGGCGAGCCTATGGCATGTGTGCCCGAGGTGACACACAGAGCCATCTTTACGGGCATGCGAGCTGTCACCCAACTCACCTGCAGCTGCGCATGTGCGTGCCCCTCATATGGTGTCCGGGCCTTCGGGGCACATGCGTGCAATTCAGGTGACCCACCTCATCTTTGGAGCTTCCTGCGCATGTGTGTGTGTTTGCACATCTGTGAGTACTTGTGTGTAGTGTGTGCATGTGCACACATGCATGCACATATGGTGTGATTGCGCACACAGTGCACAGGGGGAGCTGTGCAAAACCTGTGCATATGTGCAGATGGTGTAGTTGCATGCACAGCATGGGGATGTGCACAAAAGCTCTGCGCATGCGCAGATAGTCCGGTTGCATGCACACAACACAGAGGAGCCACGCATTAGGGTGGATAGCATGCACATGCAAAAAGCACACAAAGCACTTACCTGTTCAGCATTCGATGAGTAAAAGCTTCGCCACCACTGCTATAGAGATTTCAGCATGTTTGGTTCTTCTGCCCACTGGGGTGATGCTTCCACTGCTATCTCTTCTCAAGGGACCCTAAAATTTGTTTTGGAGCCTACAGTTTGTGTACTAAAACCTTAAATGAGAGAGGCAAAAGCTGAGTTTTTTATAAAATATAAATAGCAAAATAGGGATCTTCCTCATCAGCTTCCTCCTCTCTTCACATCTTGTCTGTGAATTAGATACCATGCATAGCATGAATAGCCTTCCAAGAACCATAAATGATGAAACCAATTTGCTCTCTTTTGCTTTTAGAAATCTGTGATCCTGCTCAACATTTTTATTATGGTCACATCATTTATAACTACTATAACACATACATAGAAGGTGACAACGTTACATTTGTTTGTGATATGGGATATTCTCCTTCAACCCAGCAATCATCAATTACTTGCACAAAAAAGGGATGGTCACCTGCTCCAAGATGTATCCGGCCAGGTAAGCTTTAGGAATCTTTAGGAATGTCTGCTAAAATTGCCTGACCTGAAATTGCTTATCATGCTCTCTCTCTCTCTCTCTCTCTCTCTCTCTCTCTCTCTCTCTCTCTCTCTCTCTCTCTCTCTCTCTCTCTCTCTCTCTGTGTGTGTGTGTGTGTGTGTGTGTGTGTGTGTGTGTGTTCATATAAGATTCATATTTCCACAGGGAATTGTTCTCTGATTGAGGTAAAGATATGTATAGGTGTTTATGTATATGCACATATTTGTGCCTATCATTTATTTATTAAACTTACTACTAGTAGTATTAACTTAGTAGTAAACTTACTACTAAACTACTACTTAGATCTATTGAATATTTGTAATAAAAAGCTACCTTTTGATTAGAAGAAAAATATTTCAGTTGAAGTTTGTTAACAATTAAAAATTGTTTTCATTATATTTATTATTTTTAAAGAGAGTGTGATGTGTTTTGATGTGCAAAGGGGATTTAAGTTTTCTCCAATGAAGATCTGAGGCCCAGCATCAATTGTATTGGGCAGTATACAAATATAAAAATAAATGAATAGATAAATGGCAATTATTAAGGAACAGTAAAATAAAGAAAAGGGTAGTAAACATCAAAATTACATGATAATACCTTTTAATATATATTTTGCAACTAAAACAATTCACTGCATCTAACACATTTTAAAAACTTAATGTGTGTGTGTGTGTGTGTGTGTGAATGATAGTATTTGCATAAAAAGAATTGGGTCTGTGCTTTCACAATTAGTCTTAAAATATGACTATCCTCTAATTGTTGTCAGTGAAGTTGTATTGTGTCTAAAAGTTGAAATTGTGGCAACTGGACAAAACTTTGTTAATCTAAGACATTTAGTTGCTAATCTGATATTGTCACCCATTAAACTCCAAAAGATTTGGACCAGAATACAGGACATTCAAAACACAAGTGAGAATCTTCGGCCCATGATGCACATGTAGGAATTCCAATACAGACTCAGATCAGGCCACTAAAATATGGAATACATTTATTTATTTATTTATTTATTTATTTATTTATTTATTTATTTATTTATTTATTTAAATTTGTATACCGCCCTTCTCCAGCAGGACTCAGGGCGGTGAACAGCCAGAATAAAACAGAACATACAAAATTTAAAAACAGTTTAAAAATAATTAAATATTTTTGGCCACAATTTAAAACAACCCAATTTAAATCAATTCAATTTAACTGAAACAGTGGGATCAAGCCAGCCCGGCTAGGTGAAATAAATAAGTTTTCAGGGCCCGACGAAAAGTCCAGAGGTCTGGTATTGTGCGTATCTCCGGGGGGAGGTTGTTCCAGAGGGCAGGCGCTGCCACAGAGAAGGCTGTCCCCCTCGGGATCGCCAGCCGACATTGTCTGGCAGACGGCACCCTGAGGTGGCACTCTCTGTGCGAGCGTACTGGCCAGTGGGAGGCTATTGGTGGCAGAAGGCGGTCTCGTAGATACCCCGGCCCTAAGCCATGGAGCGCTTTAAAGGTGGTCACCAACACCTTGAAGCGCACCTGGAAGACCACAGGGAGCCACTGCAGCTCGCGCAGGAGAGGTGTCACATGGGAGCGCCCTGTCACTCCCATAATCCCCTGCGCGGCCGCATTCTGGACCAGCAGGAGCCTCCGGGTGCACCCCAGGGGGAGCCCCATGTAGAGAGCATTGCAGGAGTCCAGGCGGGAGGTGACAAGAGCCTGAGTGACGGTGTGTAGGGAGTCCCGATCCAGAAATGGACGCAACTGGCGTATCAGGCGAACCTGATAAAAAGCCCCCCTGGCCACGGCCGTCATATGCTCTTCTAAAGACAGCTGTGCATCCAGGAGGACGCCCAAGTTGCGAGCCCTCTCCGTGGGGGCCAGTGATTCATCCCCAATAACCAGCAATGGCACCACCTGGCTATATCGGGACGCCGGAAGCCACAGCCACTCGGTCTTGGAAGGGTTGAGTCAGAGCCTGTTTCTCCCCATCCAGGTCCACACGGCCTCCAAGAACTGGGACATCACTTCAAGGGCATTATTGGGGTGGCCTGGGGTGGAGATGTATAGCTGGGTATCATCAGCTTACTGATGGAACTCCACTCCAAAGCCACGGATGATCTCACCCAATGACTTTACATAAATGTTGAACAGAAGGGGCGAGAGGACCGATCCTTCCGGCACCCCACAAACAAGGTGCCTTGGGGTTGACCACTGCCCCCCCATCAACACAGATTGCGACCGGTCAGAGAGGTAGGAGGAGAACCACCGCAAAACGGTGCCCCCCAACCCCAACCCCTCCAATTGGTGCAACATGATACCATGGTTGATGGTATCAAAAGCCACTGATTTAACATTCAAAGGTTTTTCCCCCAATAGGAAAGTCTCAGGTCTTAATTCCAAATTAATCTGTGTAATTTCCAAAACCCATTGCCGTATTTTTTTCCAATATTTAACCGCCTGCGGGCAGGTCCACCATTGGTGAAAATAAGTTCCATTACTGTAACCGCACTTCCAACAGCAGGCAGATGTCCCAGGAAACATTTTAGCTAATCTCGCCGGGGGAGATGCCACCGGTAGACCATTTTATATATGTTTTCTTTATATGAGGAGGCCATGGTTAATTTCATATTTTTCAACCAAATCTGTTCCCATTGCTGGAAGTCAAGGGGATATCCAAAATTTCGCCCCCATGCTATCATACAATCCTTCACTACATCCTGTCCTATCTGCAGAGACAATAAATATGCATAACATTTAGATAATATCCCTTTCCCTCCTTCTAATAAGATCTTATCCAATTCTTGTCTTTTATGGTAGATTCCTTCACTATGTAAATCTTTTTTATACCTGGAGTGCACTTGAGAATAAGACCACCAGTCTATCTTATATCCTTGAAGAGTTAATAATTCTCGTGACTTCGGATTACCCTGAACATCCAAGAAACCTTCATACATCAAGGTTTTCTCCCCTTTATACAATGTCGGGTAAACCTGAGCTTCCTGCGCCGAAATCCAACATGGAACTTTTGAATATACTCTTCTTCTAACCTTTTCCCAAGTGTACCCAAGCGCCTATGTAAATAGTGATCATCAAAGTGTCTAGGACAGCCGGATGCTCCCAGCCATAGAAAATAGTGCCAGCCATGTTGAAGACCGGCTCCCTCAAATGTCAAAAGTCGTCTCTTTTGTAGGACCATCCATTCTTTCACCCAAATCAAGTTCGCTGCTTGGTGATAGAGCTCCCAATTTGGGAGTCCAAATCCTCCTCTATTTTTGGGTTCTTGTAACATTTTAAATCTAATCTGCGGCCTCTTTCCCTGCCAGATAAATTTAGATATACTCCTATCCAAATTTGTAAAAAACTCTTTATTCAACCTTACCGGGGCTGTTTGGAATAGAAATAACCATTTGGGTAACACACACATCTTAATGGTTGCCACCCTTCCCAAAATTGATAGCTGGAGATTTTTCCATCTTTCTAAGTCTCTGAGCATCTGGCTGTAAAGAGGAAGATAGTTATCCTCCTTTATGGAGGAACATCTGGCGGTCAACCATATACCCAGATACTTAATTTTATTTGTTATTCTTAAGCCCATTAACTGCTCCAGCTGTTGCCTTTGCATCTGAGTCATATTTTTCACTAGGATTTTAGTTTTTTCTTCATTCATCTTTAACCCCGCTACCTTCCCATACTCTCTAATCAAGCATGATAATTTCAGGCCCGAGTCCAGTGGTTGATCCAAGATAAATACAAGATCATCTGCATAAGCCTGGACTTTAACTTCCTCCTGCCTAATCTTCATTCCTCTTACTTCCGTGTTTCCTCTCACTTCTCTAAGCAGGGGCTCTAAAGTTAATACAAATAGCAATGGGGAAAGGGGACATCTCTGTCTTGTACTTCTACAAATTTGAATTCTCTCCGTCTCCTCTCCATCTATGAGAACTCTTGCAGTCTGCTCCCGGTAGATAGTTCGAATTGCCTGAATAAAATTCCCACCAAACTCCATATATTCCAATTGAGAAATCATAAATTCCCAACTGATTCTGTCAAACGCCTTTTGGGCGTCAACAAAAATTAAAGCTAATTGTTTATCCGGGTGATTTTCGAAAAATTCTAGTGTATTCATGATAATTCTAAGATTATCTGGTAGATATCTATTAGGAAGGAAGCCGTTTTGGTCTGAGTGAATGAATTGGTTAAGGAAGCAGCTAAGCCTAGCTGCAAGAACCCCCGCAAATATCTTATAATCAGAGTTTAGTAATGATATTGGTCTATAGTTCTTAATAAGAGATAGATCAGTTCCTTCTTTTGGGATAATAGAAATATAAGCCTCAGTCCAAGATACTGGAACCTGAGCCTCTTTCATAACCGCATTGAATAAATCCGTCATGTGTCTTCCTATCACGTCAAACACTATTTTGTATAATTCAACTGGAAGGCCATCTCTACCCGGGGTTTTGCCATTTGCCTGTGCTTTCATAACTGTTTCTACTTCCTCCATCGTAAATTCCGCATTAAGAATTTCCTTCATTGTTTCCGAGACTTTAGGCAAGTCTGTCTTTTCCAAATATTTCCAAATTTCACAGATATTTTCCTCTCCTTTCTGATAAAGCTGTGTGAAAAAATCCTGAGCTACCATTCTCTTGCCTTCCTTAGTACAATGGAAATTCCCAATTACATCTTTCAGCCCTTCTATTCTCCGTTGTTTCTGCTCCTTTCTAAGCCGGTAAGCCAACCATTTTCCTGTTTTATTCGCCCTTTCAAAAAAATTTTGTTTAGTCCACTTTAGTTTATTTGCTAATTCCTCTTGATCTAATAATTTAATCTGGTGTTGCCAGTACTCCCTTTCCTCTATCAATGTTGTCTGGGTTAATCCATTTTGCATCCTTTCTTCCACCCGTTGTAATTTATTCAAGAGGTTGTCTCGGTGTTTCTTACCCGCCCTACGTTTGTCAATCATATATTTGATTAACCATCCCCTCATCACTGCCTTAACCGTATCCCATGTATTGTATATTGAAGTATCCTCTTTCTTATTTTCCTGGAAAAAAAGATATAACTCCTTCTTAAATTTACTCATGAATTCTTCATCTTTCAGGATACTTATATTCATTCTCCATCTACTCTTCCTACAATGTGGGATCTTCCAAGTTACCATTAGCGGGTTATGATCCGCCCACTGATTGGGCACTATTTCCACTTCCGAGACTAGCCCCCTCAACTCAAGAGACATCCATATCATATCTATTCGGGTCCACGAGTGGTGTCTGGGAGAGAAATAAGTATATTGATTTTTATTGGGATGTCTCAACCTCCATATATCCTGTAATCCAAATTCCTCCCTTAAATCATTACATATTTTTGGTAATGTTCTCTTAATATCCTTTAACCTTCCTTGTATGTTTCCTGGGACATAATCCTGCATTCTATCCATTACAGCATTGAAATCCCGCACTAGACAGACATGTTCATATTCCAGTTCCCCCAATTTAACATATAAGTTTTGATAAAAAGTCCTCTGATTGTCATTAGGGGCATAAATACAAACCAATAAAGACTTCCACTGGGCAATTTCTATTTTGAGCATGAAAACCCGGCCTTCCTGGTCAGCAAAAACCTGTTGGGATTTCAAATGATGTTGTACATATACCACTATCCCTCTTTTTTTTTGACCTGCTAATGAGGTATAAGTTTTACCCAACGCCCGGCATTCTAACAAATGGTTTTGATCTTTTTTTATATGAGTCTCCTGCATACAGACAATATCATACTTAGCCTTTCTTAATTTATTCAAAATCCTACTACGTTTATTAGGAGCATTTAAACCGTTAATATTTACAAATATCAAACGCACTAATTCCCCCATTTCCTTTTCTCACCTAAGTTTTTACTTTCCCGCTGTTATAGCCTTCTTAACTGTTTGTCTTGTCTCCCTCTGAGGTGCTGTTAATTCCTCAACTTTTCGTATTCCCCCACCCTTCTTTCCCGCCTTTCCTTCTCTCCTCTCCTCTACCTCTTCTTCCTCTTGCGATTCCTCCAAACTTCTACTTTCCCCTTCTCCTTCAACATCTAATTCTGACAAATTAAATTGTTGTTCCATGAATTCTCTTGCTTCTATTATCACTGCAGCAAGGTTAGCGTATGCGCAGGAGTGGAAAAATCAATACTTACCGATAGATTTGAAAATAATATATAAAATCAATGAGTGTGCGGAATCAGATAGATTAACTAGATTGATCAATGGTAAAAAAGATTCAGAATTTTATAACAGTTGGAAAGTATGGTACGATTGGGTCCAGAAAAGGTGGAATAGAATAGATATATGATGATGTATATATATATGGTGGCAAATATGTATGTATAAAGGAATGAATTTATACTTATGGACAATGTAATCATATTATACCATGGTGGCAGGATTGTATATTTTATTTGTGTATTAGCGTATAGAATATATTAATAAAAATTATTTTAAAAAAAAGCCACTGAGAGATCTAATAGAACCAGGATAGAGGAGCAACCCCTATCCCGAGCCCTCCAGAGATCATCCACCAACGCGACCAATGCCGTTTCTGTGCTGTGCCCAGGCCTGAAGCCGGGCTCGAGCAGATCTAAATAGACAGCTTCATCTAGGTTCTGTGGCAGCTGCCACGCCACCACACTCTCAACAACCTTTGCAATAAAATGAAGGTTGGAGACTGGACGATAGTTAGCCAAAATAGCTGGATCCAGAGAGGGCTTCTTGAGGAGGGGCCTCACCACCGCCTCTTTCAAGGCAGCCGGCAGGACACCCTCCCTCAAAGAAGCGTTAATAATCCTCTGGAGCCAGCCTCGTGTAAGCTCCCGGGAAGCCAGCACCAACCAGGAGGGACACAGGTCCAGTAAACATGTGGTCGCGTTCAGCCATCCCAGAATCCTGTCCACATCCTCGGGAGCCACAGGATCAAACTCCTCCCAGATAACACTCTCAAGACCTGCCTCAATCAGTCCGTCCGGACATACCCAGTCAGTGGCCAGACCTTCCCGAATCTGAGCGATTTTATCATGCAGATGCTGCACAAAATCCTCAGCTCGACCCTGCATATAGCTTATATGGCAGTATGATTTATTTTATATAATTAAAGGGCAAATTAGATGCCTTAAGTTTCTATAAGAAAGACAACCATGAATCTGCCTAACCAGATACATTTATTTCCTGCCTCAATCTGCCTATGGATTTTCCAATTTATTGTATACAGCTTTTCTTTGCAGCTTCTTAGCCCATTTATTCATGATTTTGAAAAGAGGCAATCTTTCTCTGGCTCCACTGGTTTCCCAGGTATTTTACAAAGAGTTCACATTTTATAAACAGAAGAATTCACATTTTATATTTCCTTTTACCAGTTGAACACACTTGTACGAAGGTTTTTCTATCCCATGGAAATTTTGGATCGCAGCAACAGAGTTTTCAGATCAATGCTAAAGCAAAATATATTTGTCATGATGGCTATACAACGTCAAAAGGAGAGACTGAGGCAGAGACACAGTGCCTTAAAGAGGGCTGGAGCCCAGAGCCAGAATGTATCAGTAAGTAAATACAATTCCATTGGAAGATAGGTTGAAACTGACTGGCATAGACAAAGACATGGAATCTTATTCAGTGAAGAATAGCCTGATATCATAACAATTTATTTATTTTATTTATTTATTTTGTCAAGCATGTATTGCATAACAGATATAAGTAGAAACATAATTATGAATACACAAAATAGATACAAATAAAAGGGAACATTAGGACAGGGATGATAGGCATGCTGGTGCGCTTATGCACGCCCCTTACAGAACTCTTGGGAATGGGGTGAGGTCGACAGTAGACAGTCTAAGGTTAAAGTTTTGGAGGCTTGGGGAAGAAACCAGTGTCAGGTAGTGCATTCCAGGCATTGACCACTCTTGCTGAAGTCATATTTTCTGCAATCAAGTTTGGAGTGGTTTACCTTAAGTTTGTATCTATTGTTTGCTTGTGTATTGTTGTGGCTGAAGCTGAAATAGTCAGTCAGGTAGGACATTGTAGCAGATAATTTTATGTACTACGCTTAGGTCAGACTGAAGGCGGCCTAGTTCTAAATTGTCTAAGCCCAAAATTTCAAGTCTGGTGGCATAAGGTATTCTATTGCGGGTAGAGGATATATCTTGTGAAATATCTCTGGATTCGCTCAATTGTATTAATGTCCCATGTGCAGTACGGGTTCCAGACAGATGAGCTATATTCGAGAATTGGTCTAGCAAAGGTTTTGTATGCCTTAGTTTGCAACACAATATTACCGGAGAAGAAGCTATGCAAGATTAGGGTTAACAACTTTTAATGCCTCTTTTGGAAATGCTGTTACAGTGAGCTCTGGCACTTAGATCGTTTGAGATGAGTACTCCAAGGTCCTTGACAGAGTGAGGGTCGTCTACAAGGTCGTATCCACCCAGCTTGCATTTTGTGTTTTGAATTTTTTTGCCAATGTGTAAGACAGAGCATTTGCTGGTTGAGATTTGGAGTTGCCAATTGTTTAACCATTCTGACAGATAGTCAAGGTCTTTTTGTAGGGTAGCAGTATTGTCGGTGGTGTTGAATAGTTTTACATCATCAGCAAAGAGAACGCTGTTGCTTATAAATATGACCTTAAAGGTCGTTTATGTAAAGTATAATGAGTGTGGCTCCTAAAACGCTTCCTTGGGGGACACCGCTGTTAAACAGGTGCAGGGTTTGATAGGGTGTTCCCTATTTTGACTACTTGTTGCCTGTTTGATAAGAACACAGCTATCCACTTATGCAGGGATCTGAAAATGCCATAAGATTTTAGTTTTAGAAGTAGTTTGACATGTACTACTGAATCAAGGGTCAAAAACAAAATCAAATCAAATTTGTAAATATATCTCTTCAAGAAGTCTAACTATAGGCTCATAGTATAAAATTATTGTTTTGTTCATGATTTGAAAAAAAATAACTTGCAATCTAAATATGTGTACCCTTTTATTGTAAACATACAATTTGCATTTTACTTCCTGTCCTCCCAAGAGCTTATGCCACAAATATCCTATAGATGCAAACAGAAAACATATATTATGGATTTTCCATTTACAGAAAGTTAAATATCTTTAAACTTGCAAAAGGGCAAGAAAACTTGTTGAACATCTGCCACATTCTCTACACAATATATAATAAACACAAAAATTACTTCAGATTCAAAAGCAAAAACTGTTGAAAGACACAAAGTGCTCACATAGTGACTTGTCTGCAGGATAGGTAGCTACGACTACAGCACAATCCTGAAAAACTATGTATATGTGTTCAGATACTAGAATCATGAAAGGGTCAGTGAAGCAGTCTGCAAGACCAGATTGTCTAATGTGACCCACTAACCTGGTTAAAAAGCAACTATCTATGTTTGCCAAAATCACTAGCATGAAGCAGTGAGATCTTATTTATAGCAACTCATCATTTGCTTCGTGCATGTGCCTATACCTAAGAGGGGGTCTCTGCAGTCATGTGGCTGGCATGACTAAATGCCAAAGGCGCACGGAATGCTGTTATCTTGATGGGTATATATGTACAAATCAAATTGATTGTTTGAGAAATATTTTTAAAGATTAATCACAAGATTGTTAGCTTCATAAGACTTGATAATCATAATAATTAGGTGCTGCTAAAGCTGAAAATGCTGAATTGTGGCAGTTTTGAAATGGTCCCACTTCTGGAATGGCATTACCCTGTCCCCCACTCTATTTCCCAAACACAAGGTCATCTGCAGCTTTGTACAACAACTTTCTCAACCACCTTTCCAAAACAAGGTTAAATATTGGGCTAAAATTGTCCAATATTTAGCAGTGGCTAAAGTCTCATACAGGCTTCTTTAATGAGACAGAAGGGACATGTATCTATAGAGAAGATGGCTGAACTCCCATTCCTAGGTACCTGGTCCACTTTGTCAGGTCCAACAGTTCAAACTGCTTCCAAATAAGAGACTTCTTCTCAGGCATCTACTCTGGACCTGCAACAAAGAGCCTTGGTACTACAGTGGTTTAAAGCACCCTGTTATTAACACAGCTGCCTGCAATTTACTGCTGGTTCGAATCTCTCCAAGGCTCAAGGTTGACTCAGCCTTCCATCCTTTCTAAGGTAGGTTAAATGAGGACCCAGTTTGTGGGGGCAATAAGCTGACTTTGTATAAATATACAAAAGTATGAAGGCTATTGCTTAACGCACTGTAAGCCGCCCTGAGTCTCCGGAGAAGGGCGGCATATAAATCAAATTAAAAATAAAAAATAAAATAAATAAACAAGGCTGGCATCTAATTGTGAACTTATCTGAACATTTTTCTTCTAACAGATTCTGAGCGAATTTCTCCATATGCTCCTACAAAACATTTTTCAAACCCCCCTTTATTCAAAAGGACTTGTGTCACCCTAGACAGGGCCATGGAGCAACTATCAGTGCATGCAGTAGGGATATAGAAGCATTGAAGCTTCATCATCCTTACTGCCACACGATAAACCTTAATAGAGGCTCTAACCCGTATTTGGTCAAGGTTGTCCTTTGCTGAGTGCCAGAAATACTCTAGACATCTCTTCTGTCCATTCATCTCCCTCAGCTTTTTCATAAGCCATGAAAAATGGCAGGATTCTTGAGAGGAAAGGTTGCATGGTTGCTAACTGATACAATGCCTCAGCCCTCCCCCCACCTCTTATTCCAACCAGTGACCAAGTCTTTGGATGGACCGTAAAGCAGATAAACAGGAATAGCCACCCAGCTCTCCTGAAACCTAAGTATCCATTATCTAAGACAGACCAATCTAATAGACAACTGAAAAGATTAGATTGGTCTCCCGACTCTCAGCTGATTTGCTCTCAGCTGTTTTGCTCAGAGCTTTGTTGCTAGCTGCAAAGAGTCCTGGAGCAGATTTTTTCCCTCACTAGCTATGCTGAAAAAACGAAACCGAAACTAAAGCAGGGTCTTTGCTGCAACGTGACAAAATGAGGCAGAGAGAGATTTCTTTTTCTTTTTCCTCACCAAAAAAGGTAGGTGCAAAACTGCAAACAATGGGAAATTTAGGGCAAAAGAGGAGAGTTCAAGATTTTAAAACACAAAAGAAAAAAAGCTCTATTTAACTAGGCAATTGTAATAATTGAGATACTATTAATTGTATATTGTGTTGAAAGCAGAAATGGTTAAGTTGTGGTTTGGAGGAATATATGGGGGAAATTATTTCATTTATTATTATTGGTAAATATAATTAATTGATTTGTAAGAAATTGGATTGCATGGAAATAATTGGAATATTAATGTTCATATTGATTAATATACAAAAAAAGATAGTTATATAACTAATTGATTTATATTCAAATGTTGAATTTGTATTAAACAACTGTAATATTACATAATTAACCAATGTGAGGATGAATATAAAAATAGATGACAATGGGAAGGGGTATAATATAGAATAGAAGGGAAAAATTGAATTTAATTAAGATTAGAGATGAGGATGAAAGGTAATATTGGCTTTTTAAAAAAATAGATGAGAAATAAATATGGCAAAAAGGAAATATAGAAATTGTACATTTAATTGAAATGACTAAACACTGTTTAAATTTGTGAACCAGCCAAATACTCTGTTCAAAGAAAATAGATTGTATGTTTGTATGTGTGTTTCTAATTATTGCTATTTATTCATATTTGTTCTCTTTTATTCTTTACAGTTTAACAATTGATTCTTAACTTAATATCTTTATATTTGTTTGGGGTTGGCTTTCTTCCCTTTCATCTTTTTTATTGTACAGCAATGTTTCTCCTCAAACCTACCACCTCTCTCTTTTCTTTCTTTCTTACTTTCTCTTCCCCCCTTCTTCTCCTCCCTTCTTCCTCTTCCTTTCTCCTTCTCCTCCTCTCTTCCTCCCTCTCTTACCCTGACTCCTACTCTAATGTCCCTTCCCTTCCTTCATTCCTCTCTATTGCTGTATCCTTTTATGCATATGGACTACTCAGAGGGCTGAAAAAGTTATTTTTGACTGGTCCTCGCACTTTTGACCAGTCCTCAAATTTACAACTGTCCTCACATTTTACGTTTTTGCCCTATCTTGTCACCATGGTGAAGAGAAGCAGTTGTGAAATGAGTGACATGGTTGTTAAGAATGCTGCACGGGCATAAATGTGAGGATGGTCATAAGTGTGAGGACCAGTCAAAAGTGCGAGAACCTGTCAGAAATGACTTTTTTCAGCCCTCTGAGTAGTCCCTATACACATAGCCATGGCCACCCGGTCACATGACCAGCTAGCCATGCCCACCCAGTCACATGATCTCCAAGCCACACCCATAAAATAAGCCATGCCCACAGAACGGTAGTAAAAAAATTTAGAACCCACCCCTGCTTAACACCCAAAGACCAGGCCCAACACACATAACAATCCCCAAACACACCCCCACCCACTACAAATTACCCGCCCCTGAACCACCCAAACATCCAAGTAATGCGGTCAGCTCACTGATGGTGGCCCTTCAGTTCATTGTTGAGTACAATTGGGATAAAAACTATTCAGAAAATGTGTGGTCCGAGTTTTAATTGTTCTATATCTACTGTCAGAAGGCAACAGTCCAAAATCATGAATAATAATCAGGTCAACCTTATGCAGTCATCAATAGTAGTTTTCACTATTTTGTTTAAAAATGGTGATACTGACTTTCAAAATCGTCTTGCCCATGTAGTTTGATACATTAAAAATTATTACAGGCTGCATTCTGCTGCAGATCAGATTAATCGGTTTAAAAAAGAATTGCATAAAATGTACAGATGGAAATTTATTTCTTTATTCTTCACATTTTATTTTACAGATCTAAGCAAAGCAAATGAACAATAGGACACATACCACACCCTTTGAACCAGAAGATGAATATCTGAAGTCGTATACTATTTTCTTTCATATGATCCCATGAAGCTGGATTGTATATACACAGTTATAAACAGTGGATCCGAATCTAAAAGTCTATTTTGTAAAAGATAGATTTTACCAACTGTAATTACTGGGAAAATAATAACATTTAAAAATAAATTTATAGACCACCTTTAAGGCAGATAAAATTTTACAGTATAACATTATAAATAACTTTTTTTAAATGTATCTGGAGTGAGAAATGAATTTTTTTTTCTATATACTGTAATTTTACCTTTAAATGTTTGATTCATCTGAACAATCAATCAGCAGCCCATCTTAAAGCAATGACAATAGATAATTGTAGTTGATATGTTTAGCATATGGATTCTTGAATTCTTCAAAAAATAAAAGAAATCCAAAAATGATTTTTATTGACAAACAATTTGTAATATAGTTTGTAAAGAAACAGAGATGTACAGTAAACATTTCAATTCACTATCCAATCAAAGATCACCAACAATTGCTCCTCCTGGGGTTGCTCTGGAGTTAGCAAAATCAAACTTGATGTTAATAATCAGAAGGAAGTTCAGCCAAAAGGATTTCTGCTTTGTTTTTCTTTTTTATTTTGTTTTCCTTTTTTCTGTTTGGGCAGTAAGATATTGTATAAAAATGTACTTATTTAATCAATTTATTTATTTATTTATTTAATAAAATTTATATGCCGCCCTATCTCCAAGGACTCAGAGCAGCTCACAACAATAAAACAACCAATTAAAAATATAAAATACATAAATGTACATATATAATTTATATTAAAAGCTCCAAAATCTAAAAACCCTCTCAGTCCAGGCTGGACGATGTGAACAACCAAGTTTTTAATTCACGGCGGAAGGTGCAAAGGTCAGGCGCCAACTAGAGCCCCAGGGGAAGTTGATTCCAAAGTGTGGGCGCGACCACAGAGAAAGCTCTACCCCTGGGGGTCGCCAGCCGACACTGTCTAGCTGACGGCACCTGGAGCAGACCCTCCCTGTGAGAACGCACTGGGCGATGGGCAGCTGTTGCTGGCAGCAGATGGTCCGCCAAATATTCTGGGCCTAAGCCATGTAGGGCTTTATAGATCATCACCAACACCTTGAATCTCACCCGGAGGGCAACCGGCAACCAATGCAAGTCGCACAGGAGGGATGTAACATGGGAGTATCGGAACTCTCCCATCACAACCCACATTCTGTACCCGTTAAGCCTCCAAGTGGTCCTCAAGGGCAGCCCCATGTAGAGAGCATTACAGTAGTCAACACGGGAGGTAACTAGTGCGTGAGTAACTGTGCGTAGGGCATCTCGGCCCAAATAGGGGCGCAACTGGCAGATCAGATGAATCTAGGCATATGCCCCCCTGGTCATGGTTGTTATATGATCTTCTAAGCTCAACCGTGAATCCAGGAGGACACCCAAGTTGCGCGCCCTGTCTACAGGGGGCAAAATTTCACGCCCTATAGCCAGCGATGGAATCTCTCCTTCGAACCGAGATGCCGGTATCCACAGCCACTCAGTCTTGGCAGGGTTGAGCCGAAGCCTGTTCCTCCCCATCCAGATCCGTACCGCTTCCAGGCACCGGGACATCACGTCGAGGACATCACTGGGCTGATTCGGGGTGGATATAAAAAGCTGGGTATCAGCAGCATACTGATGATCCACCCTGAAACCATGGATGATCTCCCCCAGCAGTTTCATATAAATGTTGAACAGAAGGGGTGAGAGAACCGACCCCTGAGGCACCCCACAAGTGAGGGGCCTCATGGTCAATCTCTGCCCTCCTGCCAACATAGCTTGCATCCGTCTGGTGAGATGGGCAACACACTTGCCCATCTCACCAGCAAGTGACTCTAGGCAATTTACAACCAGATAAGCAGTATCAAAAATTAAAACAAATGATAAATATTAACAATGCCCCCAGGCCAATCAGCAGAGCCACGTTTTAATTATAATACCGTGTTTTCCCAAAAATAAGACCCTGTCTTATATTTATTTTGAACCCCGAAATAAGCACTTGACCTTATTTTTGGAGAGATCTTATTATTTTGGAGTGTGTGGAGCAAGATGGGGCTCCTCTTGCCCTTTTACTTGATTTCCAGCTCTGCATTTAAATATTTGGGGGAGGGCTTATTTTCGGGGGTAGGCTTATTTTAGCGCATGTGCTCAAAAGCCTGATTGGGCTTATTATCAGGGGATGTCTTATTTTCGGGAAAACAGGGTAAGTAAAACAAGATTGAGCTACATCTTAGAAATTGATGCAGGGTTTCCAACTACATACCTTCATAATCTGTTAGTTGACACAAAATGGGCTAAGATTTGCCATGATATAAATTTAGACTGATCCATTGAAGATGTTCTACACAGAAAGTAGGCATCGGACTGCTTGGTCCATGTTTTTCCAAGCATGGCCAGAGGGCAGGTTTAGATTTTGTAGAGCTGTTACTCTGCAGAGGCACTATTAAATGTGCCTTAGCTACTGGCTGTGGTCCAGCACACACACTATTATTAGTGCCTCAGCTACTGGTGGCTGTGAAGTTCTGCAGTTTAAAAACCCCTGCCTGCTTTTGAGAAATAATATGGCAGTCTCAGATTCCAAAGAAGAGTTTAATGGTTCTGCAAGCTTTTTTACACCATTGGACACACCAACATCTGGCAACTCAAGGAAGGAATGTTGTAAGGAATTACAACATTCTGGTGTTGTTTCTAGCCTAATCTTTATTGGCCTGTTTATAGAAATTGCCTCTCTGTTAACCCTTATTACATTCTTGGCAGTACGCCTAGACTTACTGTCACCTCTGGAGCTTCTCCTGAGTTTTTTTTTCTTCTTTGCTTAACTTTCTTAAAGAGGAAGGATTATTTTAAGCTTTTTACACTGCTGTTGGGAGGAAATACTCCCCTGTTGGAGTTCTTCCAGCCGGGATGCAATGATCAGCACTTTGAAGAAATAATTGAATAAGGAAGCAGAGCTGCCAGAAAGAAGCTTTTAATGACAAGGGACCAGGATGAGTGACATTCAACAAGGCTTCTTTACTACCTAGAAAGATTGACATTCAAACATACCCTTTCTGACTTTTGGTCTAGAACTGTTTTTTGGTGAAGTTTAATTCTGTGCTTGGTGATGTTTAATCCTGTGTTTATTGATGGGATAATTTTCCCTATTCAGAGTTCTTTGGAAGGAAAAATGTTAATCTCTGTTCCTGAAAAGAAGCAGCTTCAGAAATCTGGCTAGTTCCTGTGTCTATTTGTTCTGGTAATTGGTTTAACAAGAAACAGCTACTGTGTTTGCTCCTTTGCTTCATTCTGGAGAGCTTAAATGACTTCTCTGCTAAAGGGTTTCACTTTATGATCAAGAGTTGGCTGCTGATAGTTATCATTGCATTTTAACTATTTTAATTCCACAAGGTGCTCTGGCACCCTCCCTGATTTGTAACTCCAGTTTGCAGGTAGTTCTAATCTAATGATTGGTATTTAGGGCAGCTTTTTGCATGCAAAGAAGTTTTTTGTATTTTTGTACAGGTAATCCTTGATTTACAACAGTTCATTCAGTGACCATTCAAAGTTACAATGGCACTGAAAAAAGTGACTTATGACCACTTTTCACATTTACGGCTGTTGCAGGAAACTGTCATTAGGGCAAAGAAGTGATGTCAAGTTGACCATGCTCACCTAGTCACATGACCACCTGGCCACGCCCACCCAGTCACATGAAGCACCGCAGTTGTGAAATGAGTGACCCAGTTGTTAAGAATGCTGCTACAGGCATATAAGATAACTGGTCATAAGTGTGAGGTCCGGTCAAAAGTATGAGGACTGGTCAGAAATCACTTTTTGCAGCCTTCTGGGTAGCCCCTCTGTGCATAGGGAGTACTCAGAGGGCTGAAAAAGTTATTTTTGACTGGTCCTCACATTTTGACCAGTCCTTGCACTTACAACTGTGCTCACATTTTATGTTTTGCACCCTATCTTGTCACCATGGTGAAGGGAAGCACCGCAGTTGTGAAATGAGTGACACGGTTGCTAAGAATGCTGCAACGGGCATAAATGTGAGGGTGGTCATAAGTGCGAGGACTGGTCAGAAATAACTTTTTTCAGCCCTCTGAGTAATCCTTATGCATGTAGCCACCAAGCCACACCCCAAATAACCACCAGTTGTTAAAAAATTTGAAACCCACCACTGCCACATACACAGTTAATTAATACCACATATGAAGCTACCACCTTCCAAATTCCTGTTGTCTCACTTAAGCCAGAAGCAGTAGAGGAGCTAGAGTGAAAAGTTTAATTACACAGGGGGCCACCACAGGAGGGGAATGTTGAGGCCAGTGAAGTCCAGCCTTCGATTTCAAGCCTTTATTTCCCAAGGAAGAGCAGGAAAAGCAAAGAGAAATTTGCTAAATGTATAGATATATATGTTGCAGGAAGAGCACCTGGCATGAAGGATTCGGCAGATGTGGAGGATCTGAATCCTGTACTCCAACTAACCAATCTGTACCCCATCTGTACCCCACTAACTAATTCCCATGAGGAACTTCAATGAAGACGAGGAGATGGAGGAAGGAGCAATTTTTTAGAAAGGGAGGTGATGTGATGGAATGTAATCTAGAGTTGCAGGAGGGAGGAGATCCTTCCCAAGGAGGGAAGAAACAAAGTCAGCTTGGAATCTTTGATATGCAGGAAGACAGTGAAAAAGGACCATTTCTAGCTTTTCAGAGGCAATATCTAATAAGTATAGAGGTTAATGCTTTAGTCTGGCAAGATTCCACTGAAGCAAACTGAGCAAAAATAAATAAATATTCTGAAGTAATTTCTCCTGCTTTTGCTGGAGGAATGGAATAATTTTATAAAGAGCATACTCACATGTATTTGTAAAATAGGGTTTTCTTCAGTTTTAGAAATGTGAAATATTGTTCCAGGAAATGCTGTATAAACCAGCTAATCACTCTCTCACACACACACTGTCCCCCCCCCTCTCTCCACACGCATGTGCATGTGCATGTACATGCTATGCTTTTGTTTTTTCTGTACAAAATAGGCCTATGAGTCTGTTAATTAAATGAAGAGGAATATGGTAACAGTTAGCTTGTAGTAAGAGCACAATACCAGGCGCCTATCATTAAAATTGGGAGTTGTGCTACACATGGGGTAGGAGGCCTACATGTGTGGGGAGGAAGGATTATTAAAGGAACTTCTTAGTTTGGATTATGACATTACTTCAGAGATTGAGCCTATATTTTATTACTTCTTGGTTTGGGCCTATGACAGGAATTTCAACAAGGCCAACAAGGATTGCTTCTGGGTTTGGAGCCAATCAGCTTCATTTCTGAGGGAGGGACTATGATGTCAATCCTATTTTTGGCTTAATAGTGTCCCTTTCAGTTTTGATTCAATCAACAATACTTCTAGGACAGGGGTGTCAAACTCACGTCATCACATTAGCGTCATGTGATGTATCAGGACTTTTGTCCCCTTTGCTAAACTGGGTGTGGGAGTGGCCAATGCGTGATGCATCTGGCCCCCGGACCAGGACTTTGACAGCCCTGTTCTAGGATAAAGGCTATGACCTCATATCTGGTTTGGGACCAATGAGAGGCATTTCCAGGGATGGATTCAGAAGGCATTCCAGTATATTGCAAGAAATAGAAAGAAGGCTGAGAAAGAATGTACAGGCTGCTCGCATCCTGGACATAAACTGTTTCAACTTCTCCCCTCTGGATGCAACTATAGGGCATTGCATGCCAAAACAATTAGACACAGATAGATTTCCCCCCTTGTAATCACTCTGTTAAACACCTAATTCCCACAGCACTGACTTAGGCCAAAATATATTTACCCATGTAGTAGGCTATATTGCTATTATCCTTTTCATCTTCCCATCCTTTTTCATCTCTCATCTTTCCTACTACTACTTCTTGTATATTATGATTTTTCAATTGTTGTTATATCTTATGATTTATGATCTATGATTTATCACTTTGTTCCTATGTACACTGAAAGCTTATGCACTGGAGACAAATTCCTTGTGTGTCCAAGAACCATACTTGGCCAAGAAAGAATTCTGTTCTGTTCTGTTCTGTTCTGTTCTGTTGTTCTGTTCTATTCTATTCTATTCTATTCTATTCTATTCTATTCTATTCTATTCTATTCTACTCTACTCTACTCTACTCTACTCTACTCTATTCTATTCTTCTCTACTCTACTCTACTCTACTCTACTCTACTCTACTCTATTCTATTCTTCTCTACTCTACTCTACTCTACTCTACTCTACTCTACTCTACTCTACTCTATTCCCAGGGGAGAAAAACAGTTAATACTAAAGACCCAAGGTGAGGGGATTTTTTTGACTCAATTCAGGTTGTATAAAACAGATAATATACATATGGTTTTCTTCATAGAAGTTAGATGGAATTTGCAGCAAAGAATTTTTCTTATACATCTATAAAAAATGAGAGTTTTGAATTTAAGAAAATAATTTAAAATATTGACAACATATTTTCTCTAAAAAAGAAAAAAGGAAAAAGGAAAATGAAAGTAAAATCAATTTTATCCTTGTAAAAGGGAATTTTCCTGATTAGTAAGAGAAAGATAGATCTTGTATCCTTCTGATAAGGAAGCAATCTCTTATGTTCTCTCTTCTATCCCCAGGAGTTGATAGTATTTTGACCTTCTGGATATTTGTTGAAGTGCAACCCAATCCTAGATCTGCAGTAACCGGGAAAAAAGAACAGATACCAAATTGTACCAACAGTTTCCCTTATATGATTGGCTAATGTTTAACTGCACATTGCTGAAGATTGTAAAACTCCAGAGTAATTTAAGAAAATAATTGGCTATCTGTAAACTTGAGATTTCTCTAAATATTGTTATAATAAATATAAAATAGATATGTCAGATATCAAATGTAATTTATTTATTATCAAATTTCTATACTGGCCTTTTCATCTCAGTCACTCTGGGAGATTTACAATAAAAAATAAGAGTGTTAGGACATGGAAGAATGAGAAAATGGTTCCCATGGCCAAGAATTTTTCATAAAAATCATGTATAATAATTTTGTTGTTAGCTGCTGCTACTGAAGACCTTGGGAAAGTTCAGAATTGATCAACACTGGAATGAAAATGGAGGGTTTTTTTTCCTTCTGAAGAGTTGGCAGCACTGCCCGAAAAGTTGAACTATTACTTAATTTGTTTGCTGTCCCACCGCAACACAAAGTTCACAAAGCTCACATGAAGTCCTCATTTAGCTATCAAGATCATATTCTTATTCCAGTAATGCTTCCTCTTCACAGCTTTCCTAACAAAAAGCAAAGCAACAAGCAAAAAGGAGGAAGGGATGATAGTAGCTCGGAGAAATCAGCTGAAAGAGCCAAACTGCTGATCTGAATTTTAGTGGTTGGGAAATTACCTGAAGAGCTATGAAGGCCTGGCTGCTCCTGGTTGCTGCTTTTCTTCTCTGGCCAGGCTGCTCTTCTCAAAAGGGTAAGTTAAGACAAAGAGAAATCAAGGGGAAAACAGTGTCTGCTGCATTCATTAAAGGACCAGTTACTTTTAGAAAACGCAAACAATTTCATTTTTCTCTTGTGGTTTTCTTGAAATTTGTAATACCAGATTCTTTAATAATGTCATGGATTTATAATTCCAGTCCTCTTTTCAAATACAACGTTTTTCAACTACTGATTTGTGAATAGCAAGATACTTTGTATGAGTATTATAAATACATGCCCATTTTGACGGTCTTTGTTTCAGTTAATAAGCAACTTGATATGATACCCAAGAAATTACCAAGTGTAAGATGAGGCTTCATAAATCAGAGTGCTTGAAATTATAGAGATGTATTTCCATTGGGTTTATATCAGGATAAACACAAAGAAATCAGTGGATGTCTAAATTCACAATGATTATATCTTTCACAAGAAGATGAGGATAATATTGACTTCAGTAGACATTGAAGCTAAGACTATATTTGCTGATATTCATAGTAATATTCCAACGTTTAAGCCAATCATATATTTATCAATGTTTTTTCATGGTTACAAAAGTCAAAGAAGAGGAGAACTGGAACTGGCCTCAATCAACAGAGAGCATAGAAGGCATTCCTTTCTCCATAATTGCAAAATTATCTGATAACACAGCAGTACAATAATGAGTGAACGTTATCCCATAGCAGGCTCTTACTTTCAAATTTGATAGGTGAAGGCTTAGAAATAGTTATTCTGCAATTATTTCTTTCCCTTGTTTCTGCCAAGCATGGCTGATTTGAAATGTATATTTGCATTCTTTATATACTACTAACTGATAACCCGGTGTTGCCCAGGTATTTATTATCCCAATCCTGTATTAGACAGGAAAAGCAATCACTCACTGTAGTGAGAATTAGAAACCTAATTGCCCTGGCCAACAGCCTGGGAAAAATTCTGCAGGGAACAGCCTTTGAGGTGATTATCTGCATTAGGAGGCACCTCCCCCGACAACTTGCCCTCTTTGCTTGAAGCTGAGGGCCTAGGGGGTTTATTGTTTGTATGTTTGTTTACGAACCAATCCCCCTTACCCCTTGTGTAGCAAGTTTGGTTAAAATTGCTTGAGCCATTCCAGAGTTATGCTGGAACACACACACGCACGCACACACACACACACACACACACACACACACACACATCAGGGTGTCTTACCCCCACAGTATTTTTTTCCAGAGAGTAAGTCATCTGTGTAGCAAGTTTGGTTAAAATTGCCGGACGCATTCCAGAGTTATGCTGGAACACACACAGAGACACACACACACCGAAGGGTGTCAGGGATGTCTTACCCCAATCTTCTTTTCAAATACAATATTTTTCAGCAACTGATTTGTGAATAGCAAAATACTTTGTATCAGTATTATAAATTCACACCCATTTGGAGGGTTTCTGTTTCAGTTAATAAGCAACTTGATATGATAATAATGAAGAGATTATCCTGTCTAAGATGAAGCTTCATAAATCAGTGTTTGAAATTATAGAGATACATATATCTCAGCAGGGTTTACATTAGGATAAATACAAAGAAATCTGTGGAAGTCTAAATTCACAGTGATTATATCCTTTGTGAGAAGAGGAGGATAATATTGACTTCAGTAGACATCGAAGCTAAAACTATATTTCTTGATATTCATAGTAATATTCATACATTTGAGCCAATCATATATTTATCACTGTTTTTTCATGGTTAAAGAAGTCAAAGAAGAGAACTGGAATTAGCAGTTTCAAGAGAGATTGTTCTCATTCTATGTTCTCAATCAACAGAGAGCATAGAAGCATTCCTTTGTCCATAATTGCAAAATTAACTGATATCACATTAGTACAATAATGGGGGAATGTTATCCCATATCAGGCTCTTACTTTCAAATATGATAGGTAAAGGGTTAGAGATAGTTATTTGGCAATTATTTTCTTCCCTTTTTTTCTACCCAGCATGGTGGATTTGAAATGTACATTTGCATTCTTTATATCCTATAATATATTTGTGTGCATGTTTGTGTTTGTGTGTGTGTCTATTATTCCTCTATTGTATTCTCTTAGATCCCTACTATGTTATGTATTTCTAAAAAAGAAAGAAGAACAAGGGAAGAACATCAGAGTGTTAAAAACTATAGAATAAATTCTGTGTGGCAGCATTTAGACCTAATAAAAAGAAACAGCTATAGATAATATGTATTGAGAAGTTAAAATCAAGGTTAATACTAGTAAGTGCAATGGTTTAATATCTCTAGGAAAAGAAGTGTTGGCAGCATTAAAAATGTTGGTCAGATGTTGCTGACAAAGTACACAGAGAAAGAAGACAGGTTGATCACAAATGGGAAAGGTTCAGTCATAAAATCCAATACATAATACTGTCAGAAAGATTCCTCCAGGACCAACCAGGGTAAACCAAAGTTCTGGCAAGGACAACGTTCCACAGAATTATATGTTTTGGGGGGAAATTTGGATAGCCTTACAACCTCTCTCTACCTCCCTATACCAAGATTTGCTTAGATTAGGCATCAGCAAGAAAAGCTAACATATTACAAGTAGTTCTTGAGTTATGACCCTCCTGGAACCTCCCCATCACTGTCATAACCTGTTATGGTCTTAAAGTGAGTCAACTCACATGACAATTTTATGATCTTTTTGTACTGGCTATTAAGCAAATTACTGTAGTCATTACACAAATTCAAAGTTGTTAAGAGAAGCAACGATTCACTATGGGCAGGGGTCTGCCAAAAACTGGGAATCAGTGCCCGTTTTTGGCAAAACTGTTATAACACACGGTCACAATGACTGAAGGACATTATAAATGCAGTTTCCCAGTGACCAAAATGTCACATCACCATTGGGGTGGGCAACTGGCAGAATTTCATATCCAAGTTGTAAGTGTCCCCTTTGGAACTTTGAAGGTCATTAAACAATGAGTCATTAGTCGAGGACTATCTGCAGTGTGGATTAAGTGTGTAGCAGGTACTGGTTTACTAGTTTTGACAAAAGTGGAAACTAATTGTCTAGGAGGGAAATTTGTTAGCTCACATCTCATAAGGGTAAATAGGAAGAGCAAATTTGTCAAAGCAGTTAAGATAATTTAATGTAAATATAATTTCAGCATGTGAAGAACCAGATGAAATTGACTTTGGGGAAATTGTGAGCGCTGAGAAAGCCAAATATCTGGAAAATGACCGAGTGCAATACAGGTGCAACCCTTCCTATGTCTTGGAGGGACCTGAATGGATTCAGTGTAAGGGACAAGAATGGACACCTCATCCACCAAAATGCTTGGGTAAGCCATCATGCTTTCTTTGACTAATGTAGACCTGGGAGAAAATGCAGAATTCATCCAATAGGAGAATAATGGCTGCTATTTTTTAAATAAATTAGCTTAAATTAGAATCCAGGTTTTACTGAAGCCAAAACTGTTCTGGTGTCAACTTTTTTGTTTGAAATCTGAAAAAATGAACTGTGTTTCATTTTCCTGATTTGCTTGAATGAACAACCAAACCAGCTGGTCGAATTAAATAATATTTAATTGGAAGCTTGTGCTCTCTTATCTGCTTCTCTTGTCCTTGAATAGAGAATAAAAGTGTTTTTCATGCTTTCAAATGAAATATTTTTTTAGGAAGGAAATGAAAAAAGAATGTTCTCCAACTTACAAGTTTTATTTGAAAATATAATGAAAAAATTGATGGGTCAATAACATTTGTGCAAACTCAAGATGAGAACCAAAAGCAGGAAATAACAATTGTACTCAATCTGCAATTTGAGAAATTGGAACTCAATCAGTTTCTGTCAGATGTGAAGAAGAAAGTATTTGGTTGAAAAAAAAAAAGATTTGCCAGAAAAGATTGAAAAGAATATGAATATTTATTTATTTATTTATTTATATTTATATACCGCCCTTCTCCCACCCTTCTCAGGGTGGTGAACAGCCAACAGATAAAACACAAGAAATACAAAATTTAAAAACAGTATTAAAATCCAATTAAATTAATTTGGCCCACAATTAAAAGCATCCTCGTATTAAGACCCATAATTAAACAATTTAAAAATTTAAACAATTTAAAAGAGTTAGGCCAGCCCGGCTTGTTGGGATAAAAACGTCTTTAGGGAACGGCAAAAGGTGCGAAGATCCGGGATCTGCTGTATCTCCAGGGGCAGCTCATTCCAGAGGGTAGGTGGCCCCACAGAGAAGGGTCTCCCCCTGGGGGAGTCGGCATTGTTTGACCGATGGCACCCTGAGTAGCCCCTCTCTGTGAGAGTGTACTGGTCAGTGGGAGGCTAAAAGTGGCAGAAGGCGGTCTCATAAATATCTGGGTCCTAAACCATGGAGCACTCTAAAGGTGGTAACCAATACCGTGAGGCACACCCAGAAGACCACCGGGAGCCAGTGCAGCTTGAACAGGAGAGGTGTTACATGGGAGCGCCAAGTCGCCCCCATAACCACCCGCACGGCCGCATTCTGGACCAGTTGGAGCCTCCGGGTGCCCCTCAAGGGAAGCCCCATGTAGAGAGCATTACAGTAGTCCAGGCGGGATGTGACAAGAGCATGAGTGACTGTGCATAAGGCATCCCAATCCAGAAAGGGACGCAACTGGCGGATCAGGTGAACCTGATAAAAAGCCCCCCTGGCCACAGCCATCATATGCTCTTCTAAAGACAGCCGTGTATCCAGGGGGAAGCCCAAGTTGTGAGCCCTCTTTGTGGGGGCCAACGACTCGCCCCCAATAGTCATCGATGGTGCCAACTGACTATATTGGGATGCCGGAAGCCACAGCCACTCGGTCTTGGATGGGTTGAGCCTGAGCCTGTTTCTCCCCATCCAGATCTGCACGGCCTCCAGGCACCGGGACATCACATCAAGGGCATCGTTGGGGTGGTCTGGGGTGGAGATGTACAGCTGAGTGTCATCAATGTATAGATGGCACTTCACCCCAAAACCACAGATGATCTCACCCAGCGGCTTCACATAAAAGTTGAACAAAAGGGGCGAGAGAACTGAGCCTTGCGGCACCCCACACACAAGGCACCTTGAGGTCGATCTCTGTCCCCCGGTCAACACGAACTGCGACCGGTCAGAGAGGAAGGAGGAGAACCACCGCAACACGGTGCCCCCTACTCCCAACCCCTCCAATCGGCGCAGCATGATACCATGGTCGATGGTATCAAAAGCTGCTCAGATATCTAATAGGACCAGGACAGAGGAACAGCCCCTGTCCCGAGCCCTCCAGAGATCATCCACCAACGTGACCAATGCCGCTTCCATGCTGTGCCCAGGCCTGAAGCCCGACTGGAACGGATCTAGATAGACTGTTTCCTCCAGGTACTGGGGGAGCTGTCGCGCCACCACACTCTCAACAACCTTTGCCACAAAGCGAAGGTTGGAGACTGGACGATAATTCACTAATACAGCCGGGTCCAGGGAAGGCTTCTTAAGTAGGGTCCTCACCACTGCCTCCTTCAAGGTGGCGGGGAAGTAACCCTCACTCAAAGAAACATTAATAATCCCTTGGAGCCAGCCTCGTGTAACCTCCTGGGAGGCCAGCACCAATATAAAAAATGCTGAGACAATAGATATGATGAAGGATGAACTAGACTTTGAGCAATGTTGTGTTGTTAAGGAGAATTATTCAACAATGGATGTTGCAGAGATATTTACAACAGAGTGTCAGGTCCACCATTATGTCCTGCCATTCTGTTGAAGGAAGGCTTGCTGACATTTTTTGCAGGCTTTCACTTTTGCTAAACTGCTTGGGAATCAGGGAGGGGGATTGTCTTCAGAGATGGAGCAGACTCTCTCTCAGCTGGTTCCAGCTTGATTCCAAGGCCATCATGCCCTGAGAATGACCTGTTATTTGCCAAGCACTTCAGCATTGTCAAAACATCCCTGTGGCATCACATTGGTGAACTGGTCAGGGGGTTTGGGTTTTGGGTAAATGGAAGAATTGCTTTGTGCTTTGCATGGGACCTAAATATTCTGCCTGATTTTACTGCAACCACTTTCTGTCAGTAAAAATCCTTTTGATTCAATTCAATGCAGCAAACAGTCAAAGCTTTCCTGAGGGAACAGTTGGTGCAGGTCCTTACACAGAGACTTGCGAACTTTGGAAATGAGATGCAATTCTTGGGATAGTTCCCAATTAAAAACGTAAGGAAAGGTTATATTATAACAACCAAACAAAGGTATTTGACCCTGGACTCAAGAGATAAGGACCAGGGTGATTTGTGGTAAATACCAAAACAGACTTTTACAGAGTGGTTTAAACTTTAACTATGCTGTTGTTTAGTTTAGTTTAGTTTAGTTTAGTTTAGTTTAGTTTAGTTTAGTTTAGTTTACTTTACTTTACTTTACTTTACTTTACTTTACTTTACTTTACTTTACTTTACTTTACTTTACTTTACTTTACTTTACTTTACTTTGTTATATTTGTATACTGCCCTTCTCCCGAGGGACTCAGGGCGGTGAACAGCCATAGTAAAAACAATGTACAACAAAAATTAAAAGCTTATTAAAATAATTCAATTATTCGGCCAAATTTAAAACATCCAACTACGATCATTTAAAAACCCCTATCAAAACCCAATTTAAAAAACCTTTATCCTGTCAGTCCAGCTTGCTGGAATAATAGGGTCTTCAGAGCGCGACGGAAGGCATGGAGGTCGGGGATCCTTCATATGTCCGGAGGCAGTTCATTCCATAGGGCCGGAGCCCCCACAGAGAAGGCTCTCCCCCTGGGGGTCACCAACCTACACTGTTTGGCTGACGGCACCCTGAGGAAGCCCTCTCTGTGGGAGCGTATTGGTCAGTGGGAGGCAATCGGTGGCAGAATGCGGTCCTGTAGATTTTTTAAATTGTTAAAAATATTCATATATGTACTGTATCACAGGTCAATTGGGTTGCAAATAGATGTACAAGCTTAGAAATTTTGGATCTGCTTTGCAAGGGGAGGAGAGTTATTATTGTTGCAATAGATTTGTCAGTGTTCAACTAAGGGAATATTATAGGTTTTTGTCCTTTTTTTAATTCCCCTTTTTAAAATGTTTTTGTCTGGCTTTGTTTTGTTTCTATTTTTTTTTCTTTTGGGATTTTGTATTTTAACCTCTTCAATAAAGGGAAAATTGTAAAAATAAAATAAAATAACATGTAAAATAATAAAATGAAATAGTAAAGGAATCCAAGAGCCAATCTTCTCTGCTTAGATAAGTTGAGAAGTTTTGCATCATATTTCAACAGAATATGTAACACTCGATCTGTCTGAAATTTTGTTCCATTACAACTTAGCCAACTCAAAATGTCTTTGTAGAAGATTCTGAATTGGGCTGTTTGTTCTTAGCTTGAAAAAAACAACACCATCTGTTTGTGCATGCTCCTACATGCTCCTACAAGCCAGTCCTCTATGATCCTTCTAAAAACTATTGCAGAATCATAATTTGTTTATCATTAATATTGTGCTCTAATTTGGCTTATTGGATTTTCGCCTGGAACTATTAGTTCTGATTTGTAAACCAGGCTGATTTTCTTGGTAGTAGAACAGAGGGAAACCAATGGACAAATTATCTCCCTTCAGAAGATCTACCTTCTTTTCCCTTTTTTAGCACCCTGCAGTATCACAAGACAACAGCTAGCAGCAAAAAACTTGTTTCTGTTTGGGAATCAAAGAAAAGCTCGCCTTATTCAAAGTGATCATAGCCTGCAGTTTCAGTGCAATGAAGGATATGTCCTTGTGGTTCCATCAGTCAGAAAGTGTGTTGACGGTTACATGGATTTCCCATTATGTATCTCCGGTAAGCATGCTATCAATATGATGGATTCCTCTGGGATCGTAACTAATTTAAATAATTAATATAACAAACATGAACATTTGCTTCTAAAGTCCCATTCTTTTAAACATGATTTAACCTTCACTGATATCATTCACACCTTGCCTTAGAATTTTAGTAGTTGTAATCTAAAACAAGAACCCTGAAGCACATCAGATTGGGGAAGGATGTTGTGATATTTTTTTTTTTTAATTTGATTTATATGCCGCCCTTCTCCGGAGACTCAGGGCGGCTTACAATGCGTTAAGCAATAGCCTTCATTCTTTTGTATGTTTTATACAAAGTCAGCTTATTGCCCTCACAAACTGGGTCCTCATTTCACCTACCTTAGAAAGGATGGAAGGCTGAGTCAACCTTGAGCCTTGGAGAGATTCGAACCAGCAGAAATTGCAGGCAGCTGTGTTAATTACAGGGTGCACTAAACCCCTGTACTATCAAGGCTCTTTTATTTTCCCAAACTCTTGAACTTCAGCTAAGAACTATGACTCCATGTGGTTGAAGATATGTATAATATTGGTAGACATAGGAATATGTTTCAAAAATTGCAAAGCTTGTATAAAAATAAGTTGATGTCATATCAATAAAGGAGCCCCATATTTTGCATGATGAAAAAATCTTTTTGTTTGAAATTGCTTGGATGAATTAACCATATAGATGTTAATATTGATCTGACTGGTATTATTATTTAATTAATAATTCCATAGGTTTGGGTGATTGAATTTTCATTGAATTTTCAGATTGTTATGATAATTTTTGTAATCCTACAAAATATTAGTTCAGATTGTCACTCGGCCCCTTCATCGTCATTTATAAGAGCCATGGTGGTGTAGTGGTTAGAATGCAGTACTGCAGGCTATTTCTGCTGATTCTCACTGGTGCAAGGTTTACTCAGCCTTCCATCCTTCTGAGGTCGGTAAAATGAGGAGCCAGATAGTTGGGAGCAATATGCTGACTCTGTAAACTGCTTAGAGATGTCTGTAAAGCACTGTGAAGCAGTGTGAATAGCACTATGAGGTGCTATTGTTATATGTAGGTGGAAGTCTAAATCTTGTGCATTTTCAATCTGATAGAACTATTTCTCCTAAGAAACATATTTATAAAATAATCGGAAAGTGATGTAAATTGAGTAAGCAGATAAATTGTTAGCATGTTGTTTAAAACAAGTGAAACAACAAAATATAAAGTTGGAAATATTACATAAGAGGGACAGAGCATTACAGATCCTGTGTGTCTTAATTTACTTTTTCCAATGGAATGAGCAATTATATAATGCTGATATTACTATGCAGTTATTTGCACCTCTATCTATGTGTAAGAATTAATTTAACTGAATATTATCCTTTACGGTCTTTAATGGAGAGTGTCAGTGTGGCAAGGTAGACCCAGACAGGATGAATGATCAGATTAGCTAATTCTAATTTTCTATAGAGTTACATTAATAGAATCCTGCAATCCTAAAGTACATTCCTTCCCCCCTGTGTCCTTTACAGCCCTTGAAACTGGGAGGGTCTCTTCTTATCCACTTGCCCTGACTGTTCCTGGCAAGGACTAAGTTGCCTTTTATTTGATGGTTCCCTTGGCTGCATTTCTTTTCCTTTTGTCCCGAGATTATTTCTACATACTATTACATCATATATTTCTGTCAAGATGTTGATCAATACAGAGCACAATCGATGCTCTATGTATCAATGTATAGCAAAAGAAAAAAAAAAGAGGTCATGAGCATTTGGGTACATTTGTGCTCTATTGAGTTGTAGATTGTGTTTTTATTTGAATTTCACAAATACTTAACTTAATAAGTAAGTTATAAATTATGAAAGAATTCTACTTTAAAATACTAATATTTTTAAACCATTTTTTGGTAATTGTTATTTTAAGGAATGTCAGTAAAACCAGCTAACATTTCCTGGCCTATTGGTTTTTTCCCACGTAATAGAGAGAGGAAAAAACTGCAGTGGTCCACCCAGGACTGAGAACGGAGACATTACTACTTTATCTGAGAAGCAGTACAGATCTGGCTCTTCAGTAGAATTCAGATGCCAAACATATTATGCCATAGGAGGCCAGAACAGATCTTTTTGTAACAATGGGACCTGGACAAAGGTGCCCAATTGCCTTGGTAAGTAGAAAAGAAAATCTTCATTCAATTTTCATAAGCATTTCTAATCATTAAAGTTCACTGCCTTCTTTCTCATTTAATTGGGCTTGCCTGAATCAGCTCTCCTTTATATTCAATTTCATTTCTGTGTCTGAGGTGAAGTAGCTAGTAGATGAAAGCTAAATTCTACTATTAGGATTTTGCAATGATAATATGATGCATTTGGATCCTGACAGAATTTCCTTTCTTTCTCATGTCAGATCCCTGTATGATCCCCAGGACTGAATTGGAAAGCCAGAAGATAGAAGTTAAAGATGAAATAGGTGCACCTGAAAATATATTTGTGCAACATGGTCATTCTATTGAGCTCACCTGTAGAACAGGATATGTCCTGGCAGCAAATTCTTCCCAATCAGCTTTTGTAATCCATTGTGATGGGACACCACCAGTGATTCCTAAATGCAAAGGTGACTTTAAAAAGTTTAATTTTTATAATCCTGCTATCACCAATCCACAGCCAAAGCACTTTAGTTTGAGCCTATTTATCATTAGAGCTGGAATAAACCACAATCATTTACATATGAAAAAGAGCCTTGGTGGCGCAGCAGACTAAAGTGCTATTAAGTAGCACCAGCTGCCTGCAATTACTGCAAGTTCGAATCTCACCAGGCTCAAGGTTGACTCAGCCTTCCATCCTTTCGAGGTAGGTAAAATGAGGACCCGGATTGTGGGGGCAATAAACTGACTTTGTATAAAAAAAGAACACCACTTAGGGGGCCCCAAAAGCCCTACTAAGCAGGTATATACAAAAGTATGAAGGCTATTGCTTAACGCATTGTAAGCCGCCCTGAGTCTCCAGAGAAGGGCGGCATATAAATTGAACCAATAAATAAACAATAAATAAGTATGTCCTTTAGTGGTGTTGTGGATTTAATAAGACAAACACAACTTTTGGGTTGATCAGAGACAGATTTTATATATTGCGCAATAGGTTCAAGGCTCTGTACATGAAGCGTTGAACAAAGACAGGAATTAGGTACAATGGTTTTATACCCTTCTAGACAAAGGATTCTTTTGAAGTCAGCAGTTCATATGGTCCTATACATTTATCAATTTTAATTGACATTACAGAGTTTCTTTGTAAAACAATCATAATTCTTTTTGTAGATTACTGAAGCATATCTTTTATCTTTTGACGATGGACAACTTTTAACTCATGTGGATCCCCTTGACCTAACCAACCTTTAAGCTGTATGTTATTAGAATGTTCCTTTCTTCTGACAACTTAGAGGCCTCCTAGAGGAACCAAAAGGACCTTGGCTGAGTTTGTACTCTTTCCAACCAGATGCATTTCTTTTTAGAATAGAGTGAATAGAAAGTTATCCAGTGGTCATCCATCAGAGCCCGCTTCATTACATTATTCCCCCCTCTGAAAGTTTTTCAATGCAGAAACTTTCACTATTCTCATATAAGTTTAACTTCTGAGTATACAAGATTCCAATAAACAAATCTACCATATATAGGGTCTAACAAAAGATAATTAATAAAAATAAAGGATAGGTAGTTCTTGATTGTTTTTCTACTCTCTTGATTCTTGGGGAGATTCTCTACCTTTTTCTACAGGTTCCATTTCCTCATATGGGTCTGCCTCAGAATCTTTATGTTCTTCCACAGGATATGGACCAAGTTGATTAAGAAAACGTTCTATCAAAGCTAGTTCCTTTTCAACTTGAATCTCCTTTACTGTTCTTATTTATAGATGTTTCAGCATAGGGATTGCACAAGGAATAAAAGCTAGGCCTGCCACAGCCATATTAATTCACCCGGATCCAGACAACCAAGAAAACCACATGTCAGTTGTTTATAACCTCTGACCTATCTTGGAAGCCCTATCCTGCAATTCCTTGGCAATTTCTCTGACCACACCTGATTTGTTACATGTTCCTGTCCAGTTTGTTGGTAAACACAAATATGCATCCTTTCCACATAAGAAGATTTATGGAAAAGGCATGCACTCAGTAGTTCCTTGCATTAGTCCAGACCCCTAAGTCCCTGCCACAAACATTCCTGCCAGTGGTTGCAATGGGACTTCCAGTGAGAGGTCCTTCTGTTTATCTCTGAGAATTGGTCCTTCAAAAAACATATCGAGAGGTAGTATTTCCAGGTGGGAAAAAGAATACACAAATCTAATTTGGACTTCAAGTTGAACCAGAGTGGAAATTCTGAAGGTTGAAATGGTCTTGGACAGATTCCATCCACCCCACTTTCCCTTCTTAAAGTTTATTTCTGGTAGCCTTTGTTCTAACCCAGAGTTGTGGTTTGACAGGAACAGCATGATAAGATGTAGGGCTAGTAGATAAACATAACCAGCATTTCTGACCTAGGGTAGGGTCATACTGATTAACAAGATCTTGACTTAATTCCAAAATCCGTGATATATAGTCTCCTCTATGCAATTGTTGTAGAGGCCCATTTTCCTTATCTATTCCCCCCTCAGCTGGGAATGTCAATAGTGCAACCTTAGGTGGTGGAGTTGACGTAGGTCTAAGGTAACGACCTCGTGTATATACAATGCGTTCTTGGCGTGAGTGAACTTGACCTAAAGTGTAGTCATCTAGGGAATCAATGTTCATCTTATGTTCACTTGAGAGTCCTAGTGCGAATAATGTCCAAAGCCATAAACAAATCATAATCAACTATGGTGTGAAGCTCACTATGTCAGGGAGAGGGTTAGTGGTGCATGTGATTTGGGAAACAGGAGTAGCAATAAAAATCCTAGGTCTACCACAAAAACGTTCCTTATATATGTAAAACAAAATTACTAGCAAAATTAGAAAAACAAGTACCCACAAAATGTACTCCCAAACTTCTAATAACATTAGCATGTGTAAGAAAGTGTTATATTAAAGCTAATAATATGTATATGTACAATGTGAAGGCAGTTGTCCTCTTTACAAATCTTCCGCCGTGCGTAGAGAATCAGCTTCCGGAGTGATTCAACAAGGCTGATGGTCACCTGGTATCAGTCTCATCCAGTGGATCCAGGATCATCCTCCTAAGATCTTAAAAACACAATTACAAAACCAATACATCTGGGCGAGTGCGCAAAGGAATCTGAGCAGTTGTAGTCCTTTTCAGTTGGGAAACAGCATAGGCAACCACTGAATCCTAAGAAAGAAAAAAATACAAAAATAGTCCAGATGAATGCTATTCCCACTGGTGGCTGGATCCTTTGGATCATCAACTTCACTGGATTTCCTTGATGAGATTAAGCCCGTTCACTTGGGGTCTAACTTCCGTCCAGTTTGGATTAACATCCAATCATCGTGGTGGAATTTGTGGACTGGAAACTTCAAAGGCGATGTTTGGGCTAATAGTCCTTGTTTCCTAAAAACTTCAAAATATCTGGACAGGTTATACACATATTGTTTCAATACTTTGTCACTGGTTTCCAAGGAAGTAATGCATATGCTTCCTGTAGTGAAAACTACTCCAAACAACAGTTCATATGATGATAATCTGTCTAGGTTGGGTAAAACTCTTGACACCACTGTTGCTGTAGCATTACTGCAGATAAAAGCTGCAACCCACCCTGTGAGGTGGTTCACTATGACTAATAAATATTTTACACTCCCCACTTTTGGTAATTCTGTAAAATCCACATGAATACATTGAAATGATCTTAAAGCTGGTGATACATCTTACACATCTGTTGTTTTCTGACAGCATGTTCATTCACCTTTTTACAAACCAAACATTTGTGTATAATTGATGTTACTAAAGGATATATCCCAATACAATCATAGCTTAGTTTAAAAGTTCATGTACGATAGCTTGAAGTCCCCAATGACTCCACCCATATTTTGCCAAATGATGTCCAGAGACTAAGGGTTACAATGCATTAAGCAATAGCCATCATAAAGTCAGCTTATTGCCCCCCACAAACTGGGTCCTCAATTCACCTACCTTAGAAAGGATGGAAGGCTGAGTCAACCTTGAGCCTGGTGAGATTCGAATTTACAGTAATTGCAGACAGCTGGTGTTAAATTACAATGCATTTATCCACTGAGCTATCCAGGCTCCCTGTCCATAGAGCTTAATTTAATGAATGCAATTCAAAGGTTTGAGCAGACCAATTTCGAGGCAATTTGTCTCCAGGGGGTGTCCCTCCAAATCTGGTCTTATTTTTGTATGGAGACCAATTATTTCAACACCATAATGTTCTCATCCAAGGTGATCCATTGATCTGGTATTGGTTAAGAACTGTGCTTGATTCAAATTGAAATCTGCAGGTTAAAATCAAATCTGTCTGCTGCATTAAAATTGTTTTATTTTTGTTTAGAATTTTGAATCAGATAACCACCACTGAAGGATAGTTCTGACTTGATGTGGGGTGTTTACAATGAGGGCTCCCCCAAAGGTCAATTTCCTACTTTCTGAGCCAACACCCCTCGTGCAATTCAATTTGTGTGTGTGTGTGTGTGTGTGTGTGTGTGTGTGTGTGAGTGTGTGTGCCTACAAAGAGACTGAATGGCTTTTCCAAATTCGGCAAACCCAATACAGGAGCCCTGGTTAAAGCCTGTTTCAAAATTTTCAAGGCTTCCTCTTTCATGTCCCTCCCATTTCAAACTCCAAGATCCAGATTCAATTAATTTTGCATAGAATTGTCTTAATTCTTGCTTGTTTATAGATGGAGGCGGAGACGCTACCCCTCCTTTCTATCAGGAGTGATTTTTTTTTTCTGTGGGGGGGGAAGTCTTTCCCTTTAAAGATTGCTGAAAGGCAGAGCTTTCCCCGTCCTGAATTCAAAACTCCTGGAATTAGTTTTATTGTTCCTAGTAAGGCAAGCAAGAAACAAACACATCTTTTATTCTTCCTTTTGTTGTGGAAATTAAGGCAGCGTCTCAGTTTCTTAATGGCCCATTGGTAAAGGTGGGGGCTGAACTCTGCCGGAGTTTCTGCCTATTTTCTTTAGGGGAATTTTCTTGTGCTTTTAATATTGAGCTTCTCAAATCTTCCAACACTCCCTTCACTGATTAAGTGTATTCAAATGCTTTGTTCACTTAATCTGATCTCTGTCAACGAAAAACACCACTTCTCTTCAGATCACCACTTCTCTCCTACTTCTTAGCACTTCCACATTTCAATCTGCCAACTTCCATAACTTTCCAAAAACAAATCACATACCTTCTCCTTTCAATCAATTCTACTTTCTCTAACTCCTTCTTATTATAACATTCAATTCCTCCTACCACTGCCATCCTGATTTCCAAGCCAGCACAAGTCTGTGTAGACAAACTTAAAGGCAACTTTCTGACTTCCCTTAAAACTTCCTCTCTTCCTTCAACTACCGTATATCCCTCTATAAACAAATGAGCTCCTCAGCACCAATTATCTAATCTCCCCGCAAACTGAAGTGAACAAAAACAAGCATACTCTCGAGGCAGAATCCAACATTTTAGACAAAAATGCCACTGAATCTCTCCTACCACACATCGCAATTTCCAACTCATCTCTGTGACAATTCCCAAAAAGGGCAGTAACTTGTGCTACTAGCAAACAAACAAATAAACAACAAACAAACATACAAACGAACAAACGTGCCATCTGTTAAGGATGCAGAATGCACGCAGACATAAAAAACATTTAAGAAAGACAGCTTCAAAAATAAAACAATAGTAGATTAAAAAAATCTTTCAAAATAATTTCTTTGAGATAGAATAAAAATAAGAATAAAAATAATTTTATTTCTATACCATCCTTCTCCCGAAGGACTCAAGGCGGTGTACAGCCTATTTTGTTTAAAAAAAAACAAAACAACACCAATTTAAAATAATTAAAAATATTAAATGGATTCGGCTCAATTTAAAACCTCAGAAATTTAAAACATCTGATTTAAAATTATGTTGCTAACCCAGCCTGGCGAAACAACAGGATTCTGAGTACAGGTTTAATGAAGCGTTTTTAAACCTCCAAAAATTTCCAGAAAAAATAAAATCAAAATTGTATTCAGAGCAGAAAAGTTTTCATATGCAAATTAAAGAGACCTAGCAGCAACAGCATTAGCCGATCACCCACTTCCCCCTTCTTTCTCTGGCTGCTTTTCTGAGAGAAAAAAATGGTTAAACCGTAGCCCCCCCCTTCTTTCGTGCCTCTCATCTCCCAGGGAAAAAGGAGGGGGTGAGAGAAAGGAAAAAAGTTAAAAGGAACTGTTTCTCTCTTACAAAGGAAAAGAGGGGGGGAAGAGGGAAAAAATGTACAGCGTGCAAGGAAGCCTCGCTTCTCTCTTCCATTCAGCATTCTTACAACAAAGCAACACAGTATTATTACTATACTAACATTAGTATTTCTCTAATTTCTCACTTTATCAACACACAGGCTTTTCATATTTGTACTGCAATCAACTTCTTGTTTAAACCAATTTCACATACAAAAAATCCCACTTCATGCAAACCAACCATTACAATAATCTCAAATATCTCTTACAGCCTCAAGCACAAATCATCTCACTTTGCTGGCAGCCACACATATCACAATCAATTAAATTCCATTCAAATTTACACACTATCATTATATATATACATATATATTTAACAGAAATCACACCAAATTGATCAAATCATATCTGTTTTCCCATTTAGACAGGCTTCACCTTTTTAATTGCCTGCTAAACCCCGGGAGGGAAGAACAGTAAACTCTGGCTGTTTAAGAATGTCAGTTTATCAGAAAATTTATAACACTGCAATTAGTTCTTCTCTTACCACACATAAGATTACACATAATACTTAGTACTTAATTTCAACAATTAAATACTTAATTCCAGAGACTTCAGCACGCCAACTGGTCTCTCAGGAGATTGATCAGATCTCACTCTTCCACCCTTTTAATGGGTAGGTACCTCTAAACAGAGAGACTTTAACTCTCTAATTTATACTTACCTGTTTTCTTTCTTTCTTTCTTTCTTTTTTTTTCTTTTTTGTATTTTTGTTGAGTCTCTGTTGTCTGATCAACCTTCAAGGATTCTTGACTGGCCTGTCTTCGTCAGCGGGTTTACGGCACCTCCTCACTGAATCTCCATGGACTTCAAAGGAGTCCTAATGGCCGGCCAGTGGATTTTCCTTGGGGAGGCGTCGATTCCCACTGAGGCAGGCTGTCTGGTAGAACAAAAGTTCTCTGCCTTGTAGTCCCATCTGCAGGGTGCCATAAATGTTGTGGATTTAATAAGACAAACACAACTTTTGGGTTGATCAGAGACAGATTTTATATATTGCGCAATAGGTTCAAGGCTCTGTACATGAAGCGTTGAACAAAGACAGGAATTAGGTACAATGGTTTTATACCCTTCTAGACAAAGGATTCTTTTGAAGTCAGCAGTTCATATGGTCCTATACATTTATCAATTTTAATTGACATTACAGAGTTTCTTTGTAAAACAATCATAATTCTTTTTGTAGATTACTGAAGCATATCTTTTATCTTTTGACGATGGACAACTTTTAACTCATGTGGATCCCCTTGACCTAACCAACCTTTAAGCTGTATGTTATTAGAATGTTCCTTTCTTCTGACAACTTAGAGGCCTCCTAGAGGAACCAAAAGGACCTTGGCTGAGTTTGTACTCTTTCCAACCAGATGCATTTCTTTTTAGAATAGAGTGAATAGAAAGTTATCCAGTGGTCATCCATCAGAGCCCGCTTCATTACATTAGTGGGGCAGGTATTTTTATCTCTCTGAAACCTCCCTGGACTGCACTTTTCCATTCTGCAAGGGCCCAATGGAAACTCTTGGGATGTAGTTGAAATAGGAGAAACCTGAAAGACTGCAGATTGCTGGAGAGGGAGTAGTGCAATCAAAAACATACCTATGGCCATTTCATGGCTTAATTATTGCAATAACTGCCACATTATACCCTTGAGAATTGTTCATCAATGTAAGGTAATATATGCACATAGCAATATTTTTATATCATTGAATGGTACAGTAATTTGTTTTGCTGCAGTAAACTCCATACCTGATTTACTATATATTTCTGTTTTTAAGGAATTTATAAACCAAAATCTAAACACCAATACCAAAAGAAATTCCAATCTAGTTGCTAGCAAGAATATAGGAACTTTTTAGTTACTGCTAGAGAACATTGCTTTGCATTTGATCTTGGGACTAGTAGAGTAGTGAATGTCTAATGAGGGAGATTTCACAATTTTAGCAGTTCCACCTTTCCCAGAACCAGCAGTTCCACCACAGGTATCAGAAGAACTTCGTGGAGATGTTGGTTTGATTATGCATTCATGCCATTTTTGTACCACGATTATCCTTGTGGATTCCAGGAAGTTTACAGATATTAAAATAAGCAATAAAATAATACAAAATTCAATAATATGACTAAAATCAAATCATAAGAAAAATGCACTCATATAGACAAAACTGCCTGTGGTTCTACTGGCTTCAAGAAGATCAAGAAAGTGGCTGTCATACTCAACTTAGGGCAGCTGTTTCCAAGGAGGGGAGCTGCAAAGAGAAGATATGATATTACTCCCTGACTAACCTGAAAGCTGGAGACTCTTAGTAAATGTCGTCTTGCCATCCACGTTAGACAAACTATGGTTATTTGGAAAATTCAGTGTCATACTTGTCATACGCTTGAGCTATAACCAACTTTAAAAGTCATGTCCAGCACTTTGGATTGCACTCAGAGGTACATTGGTAGCCAGTGCAGCTCCTGCAGCAGTGATGTAACAAAGCAGAACTAAACGTATACACTGAGCATACAGGATATTGAATTCCAGACCAACTGATGTTTTGATCATATCCCCAGGGCAATTTCAGGAAGAGCTAATTAATTGTTTAATTACATGCTAAGAAGTTGATATCAACTCTCAGCAATCACAAAGATTGATTTTCTCCAGGAAATCTGCCCCAATCTTCAAATCTTCTAGCAATGCATCCATTGCCACAGTAACTGAATTGTTGTTGGTGATACTCTACCTCAGAGTTATCATTATAGAATCTATAATATAGATAGAAGGCCGCTTCTAATTCTGAACAGAATTGAACATAAATGGGACTAGAAACAAGCCCTGCGGTCTCCATCACAGCCTTTGAAAGCCTGATCTCTTTCCCCTGTCGCCAAGAACATCAACAACCTCAGGCAGAAGTGGAACCACTGCAATGTGGAGCTCCTAATTTTACAACCTTGCAGGTGGTTGAAAATGCTAGTGGGATCGATAACAGGACTGAATAGCAAGAAGAGGGATATCAAATTGTAGTTTTATGTTTCAACTTAAAGCAAAGTAAAGAATAATTATAGGAACTGGCTGAATTTATTTATGATGTTCCAAATAAATAATAGCCAAGAGCTACTAAAAGTAATAAAAGCTCCATTACAAAGAATTTGAAGGCCTGACCTCTTTTCCCTGTCACCATTAACTGAAAGTGTAACCTCAGACAGGAGAGGGACTACTACAATGTGGAGCCCCTGATTTGTAACCTTGCAGGTGGCTGAAAATCCTACCAGGCTCAACAGTGGGACTAAAAAGTAAGAATGATGGTATCAAGTATGGGGGTATAGGGGTATCAAATTGTAGCTTTTTATTTCAATTGGAAACCAAAGTGAAGGAGGAGAATAATTACAACAACTTTCTGAATTTATTTATTTATTTTATTTATTTATTTATTTTTATTAGATTTATATGCCGCCCTTCTCCGGAGACTCAGGGCGGCTTACAATGCATTAAGCAATAGCCTTCATACTTTTGTATATTTTATACAAAGTCAGCTTATTGCCCCCACAACTGGGTCCTCAATCTACCTACCTTAGAAAGGATGGAAGGCTGAGTCAACCTTGAGCCTGGGGAGATTCGAACATGCAATAATTGCAGACAGCTGAATGTTAATAACAGGCTTTTAGTCTGTTGAGCTATCCAGATATTTATTTGATCTTTCAAATAAATACAAGGCTACTAAAAGCACTTTTAATTAATATGACTAATTTCACAGTATATTTTAGAACCTAACTGGCAGTTTTAAATTAGTTGTGCCCATCAGTAGGTATGTCTATTGATTAATATGTTCTTGTGGTGCTATATAGATATTTAAAATAGTAATATTGTTTTCTGTCCTTATAGAAATCAATGCTTAGAATCTGATATGAGTGCACGTTTTCCTTTTTTCATATAATATATGATTTCTTTTCTCTAGAAATTACATGCAACTCTCCAAGAATATCTAATGGTACTTTCCGACCTCAAAGAACTATATATCATGATGAGGATCTAATTCAAATTCAGTGTGACAGTGGATTTACTTTTGATCCAGATAATGGAGAAAAGGTGGTTGAATGCACAAAGAATGGATGGTCACCTCCACTAAAATGTATCAGTAAGTAGAACTAGTGTACATTACTATGATTGTAGAATGGCATATATATTGAACTTTGTACAAGTGTACTTTTTAATACTATTTTACATGATTTTCCAGTTTTCTGCCAAAGGGACATATTTCACCCAGAGCATTTTAACAGTATTTACATATATATAATGTATTTTTCAGAGTATAAGACGTACCTTTTTATCCCCAAAAAGAGGGTGAAAATCTGGGTGTGTCTTATAGTCCGAATCAGAGGTGGGTTTCAGCAGGTTCTGACCAGAGAACAGTTCTGGAGAATTGGTCATAGCGAAAATTTTGAGTAGTTCGAAGAACCAGTGGTAAAAATTCTGACTGGCCCCGCCTCCATCTATTCTCTGCTTCCCAAATCCCAGCTGATCGGGAGGAAGTGGGGATTTTGTAGTAACCTTCCCCTGGATTGGGGGCGGAATGGAGATTTTACAGTATACTTCTCCTGTCATGCCTACCAAGCCATGCCCACCAAGCCATGCCATGCCAACCAAGCCATACCCACAGAACTGGTAGTAAAACATTTGAAACCCACCATCGGTCTGAATGTAGCTCTGCCCACCCACCTTCGGATATTTTTGGGCTCCGTGTGTCATATTTTTATGTGGTTCCAGGTGGCAGGGATCTGGGTCAGGGCACAGCCTGAGGAACGACCCTCTTTGGGATGGCTTGGGGGGGGGCAGCTTCGGCAAACAAGACGGGCCCCATGGTTTCCAGCTGGTCCGCCCTCTGGCTGCCCAGTGGGCAGCTCAGGGCAAACAATGGCCGTGATGACTTCACTCCCCAGCAATGTAAGGAGATGCTGAGCTCTCTCTGTGCCCGGGAGCCGAGCTGAGCGGGAGCCCCTAAAGCGAAACGTCCCTCCTTTCCAGCCACCACCACCGGTTGGCCCAATTCCCCAACGCAATTCACAGAGCCATGTTTCAGGCGGCAGCTGGTTCCCCTGCAATGTGCATCAGAGAACAGGGAATCATTTTTGGATTCGGGGAGGGAATTGCAGCGCTGCCACCTGAAAATGCTTTCCTCTCCAATGCAAATTGCCAAGCTGTGCACTGTGTCCTCCTCCTTCTCAGCAGACTCACCTTCTCTTTCCTCCTGGCCAGATCCACTGCCTGAAACACGATGCACTTTTTTTGCTTCCACGTGCCCCATTTTTGGAATCAGGAAGGAAAGCATTTTTGGGTGGCAGACTCGTGATCCCCTTTCTGATTCCAAAAATGGAGCATGGAATATGGTGGATCCTACAATCTGAGTCTAGGGCCTGGCAATTATAGTCCCAATCATCATCATCTTCTTCTTCTTCTTCTTCTTCTTCTTCTTCTTCTTCTTCTTCTTCTTCTTCTTCTTCTTCTTCTTCTTCTTCTTCTTCTTCTTCTTCTTCTTCTTCTTCTTCCTCCTCCTCCTCCTCCTCCTCCTCCTCCTCCTCCTCTTCCTCCTATTATTATTCCTATTATTATTATTATTATTATTATTATTATTATTACTACTACTACTATTACTATTACTATTATTATTATTATAGATAAAAAAGAGCAACATGTTCAAAATCCATATATACAATATATTCTCTGGTTACAGTTCTTTACAGTAATATTCATCATAATCATAATAGTATTTTCTAATGGTAGTTTCATAATAACAGTTCTTTTTCCTCATAACATTAATACATACTAATTAGTAATACTAATCAAAAATAATCAAAATTAATAAATTACAGTAAACAACCATAATAGTGAGATTAATCTTTCTCTTGTAATCTTCGAGATTCTAACTCCAGTTTCTCTTATTTAACTATTATCTAACATAGTTTGTTTTACTTGTTCCTCTTCCATTCTAATAGTTAATAAATAATTATAAAAAATTTCAATCAGTTTATCCTCTGGTCCTGTTAAAATTTGATCCAACTCTGTTGGTTCTTTTAAAAAACCATACATTTAGGCATCTTTATGGTATCTAGATTGTATCTGTGGATGCGGCCACCATGCTAAATTTATCCCTTGGTTATTCAATTCCTATTTGTTTTTCAATTCCCCCTTCTCATTTAAAATATCTCTATAATATCTCTTACAATTTTTCCCATTTCCATCACATTTGGATATGTTAGTGCCTCCATCGTGGAGAGCCAGACTGGCATTTTCAAGAAATGTTTTTCCTTGATTTTTGCCCATACTGAGAGTAGGGCATTTCTAATGTAGTGTCCCTGAAAGTATTTATGTGCTATATATTTCTCATGCCATAGAAAGGCATGCCAGTTGTAAATCGTGTCCCTACAGTACACCTAATTGTCTATGTCTCAGGGTTATCCATTCTTTTAGCCAGGTAAGGGAAGCTGCTTGATAGTATAGTTCCCAGTTTGACAGCCCAAAACCTCCTCCATTGATAGAGTCTTGCATTAATTTCAACCTAATCCTTGTCTTTCTGCCTTGCCATATAAATTTGGTTACCATTCTATTTAATTCCTTGAAATATTTCCTTTCTAGCTTTATTGGAATTGTTTGGAACAAATACAACAGTCTCGGTAGGATATTCATTTTGTCCCAGTCTTTAAGAAAGGAAAAGAGATGAAGGAAGCTGGTTTTAGAGAAGATAGCACTGATTGAAAAATATTCAGTCAACAATGTATCATTGTATGCTGCCCTCATTGATCTTGAAGCAGCTTTTGACTCTGTATTCAGGACCAAATTATGGGAGTAGCTGGAAGTTGCATCAATTGATTATCTCCATTTAGAGGTGTGGAAGTGCACTGATTAGAATTCTCACTGCTCACTGCCAGATGTTTGAATCTGATCAGCTCAACGTTAACTCAGCCTTCTGAGGTCAGTAAAAAAATTTTGAAAAGTTTTTCAGTTTTTCAGTTTTATTTCTTATACACATAATATAAAATGTACATTTTCTTATACATAATTAATCATATACATGCTTTCCTTAAAGAAAGCATTAAAGAAAGCATTTTAATTACATTCGGAATTGCTCTTCTATCCTTTCTTCCCTCATTTCGCAACAAACCTTCTTCTCCTCCTCATCTTTCCCTTCCCTCCCTCCCTCCTCTCCTCTCCTACTTTCTCCTTCCTCTTCTCCTACCTCATCCTACTTCCCCTTCCTTTCCCCCATTACTCTCTTCTTTTCCCCTTCTCATCTTCTCTCCTACTCCTGTCCCTTACCCTTCCTTCCTTTCCTTTTCCCTTTCTTCCATTCCTCTCCGTCCCTCTCCTCTTCCTACCCTCTACTCCTCTACTCCTCTCTCCTTTCTGTCTTTTTTGCTGTGGAATATTCTTCTTGTTTGGTATCCAAGCAACTCCTGTATTCTAATAGTATACACTTTCTTTCAATTTCTTTTCAGATTTATTCTATCAGTGCTATCATCATAATTGTACATTTATTCTTATTATCTTCTTTCTTTCCCCCCCTCCCATCCCCCTTTATCATTTACTCAGGTGTCATCTGGGTTTCTATTTCTTTTTTATCCTCTCCCTCGTTTAACTTTCTATTATCTAAATAATTTATCTATCCTCTTATCTTCATATTTTTTTTCTAACAGGGGTGAAATGCTCCCAGTTCGGACCGGATCACCCGATCTAGTAGCGATGGAGGCGGGTGGTTTGGAGAACCGGTAGCAAAAACCCCTTCCCCCCCCATTGCCCAGCTGAGCCGCGCAATCATCAGAGGCTTTTTTTTAATTTTTAAAAGCATTTTTTCTACAACCTCTTTGGCCTTTTAAAAGTTAAAAAAAAAAGCCTCTGATCACCGGGCAGCTCAGCTGGGATCATCAGAGACTTTTAAAAGCATTTTTTCTACAACCTCTTTGGCCGAAGAGGTTATAGAAAAAATGTTTTTAAAAGGAAAAAAAGGCTCTGCTAATCAGGCAAGTCAGCTGGGATTGTCAGAGGCTTTAAAAAAAAGAGAGAAAGCCTCTGCCGATCAGAAAAGTCAGCTGGGATCGTCAGAGCATTTTTTCTACAACCTCTTCAGCTGAAGAGGTTGTAGAAAAAATGGTTTAAAAAGTAAATAAAAAAAAGTTGGCCATGCCCACTCAGTCATATTACACCCCCCCCAAGCCATGTCCACAGAACCTGTAGTAACAAATTTTACATTTCACCACTGTTTTCTAACCATATATAAAATCTTCCCCATGTCTTGAAATACAGTGATTCCTCTTTATCTCTTATTCTTAAAGTTAATTTATTCATTTTCGCACAGTCTAAAATCTTTTTACTCTTTCCCATACTACCAACAAACCATTCCTTACACAATGTCTCTGGAAGTATCCATGGATCCATTTTTTTTCCATACCATAAGAAAGGATGCCATCCTAGTTGTAAGTCATGTCCTTCCGAAGTCAACAGTCTTGTATTTCTCAATAAGATTCATTCTTTAATCCAAGTTAACATCGCTGCTTGGCAATACAATTCCCAATTTGGAAGACCAAATCCTCCTCTAATTCTGGAATCTTGAAGCGATTTAAGGTTAATTCTTGCTTTTTTCCCTATATTTGTTTGGATTGGATTGTCTGTTTGATGTAAAATGCTACTCCTCTTTTGCTTTGACAAGCCAAAGTTATATACGATGTCCCTAATTTTATTCGCTCCAAAAGTTTTTTATGTTGCTTTCTAATATGCACTTCTTGTAAGCATATAATTTCTAATTTTAGCTTGTCTAATTTATTGAATATTTTCCTTCTCTTTATTGCTAAGTTTAATCCATTTATATTCAAAGATATTATTTTAATTTCTTCTTACATTTCTTATTTATTTATTTGTTTTGTCCATCTAGTCATTCTTATCTCCCTTAGTTCCTTAACTTCTTTCACCCTCGCTCCTTCTCTTAACGCTCTCTCTTGTTCTTTCGTTGTCTCTCTCGGTTGTTCTTTCTTCTCCTCCTGTTGTTCATCCCCTTTTTCTTCCCACAACCTTCCTTCCTCTTGGATATCTATGTATTGTTTATAAAATAACTCTGCTTTCTCTACTGAATCTAATCTGTATCTTTGTTCTTGCCAGTTCACCAATATCCTTTCTGGAATCAACCATCTAAAATTTATTTTTCTCTTTATCAAACATTTCGTGAGAAATTGATATTCTTTTCTCAGATCTCTCACTCTTCTTGGAATTTGTTTCAGTGCCACTACTTCTCTCCCTTTGTATTTTATCGTCGTGTTTCTCATCAATTGCAATATCCCTGTTCTCAGTGTTTTCTTGGTGAATCTGACATGAATTTCTCTAAGAAGATTATTCTCATCACATATCTTGTGTGCACTCTGTATATCTCATCGATTCTACTTAATATCCCTTCCTTACTTTCTTCCATTGCTTCTGCTATTATCTCTGCAATTTTCTCTGCTAAATTTTCTCCCTTTTCTTCTTCAATGTTTTGAAATCTTAAATAAAAATCAGCTTTATCCATTTCCAGGGTTATAATTGTTTTTTCCTGATTTTTATCAGTAATTGTAAGTCTATAGTCCATCTCTTCAATTATTTTCGTTGCTTTTTCTTTTTCTTCCATTTGCTGTAATCATTGTTCATTTCCCCCTATCATTTCTTTAACTTCTTTCAATTCATCTACCTTGTCTAATCTTGTCTTAAGATCTTGTCATAGTCTGTAGCATATTTTTTTAATTCTGTGTTGACTTTGTCTTGATGTGATGAAATTTCT